GATATAGAATCTGAACAATTGCAACAAACAAAGCTCATTCCTTGATCATCCAGCAGTCGTATGAAGGCAAATCAGCCAGTATACGCTATTAATCGACACAGTCCTCTGCAGAAATTTTCGAAATGCTGAATTTCCCTGATAGACGTAATATAGATATTTGAAATGAATGTCAGAATTGGCAGCAGTAATTTTTAGCGAAAGTCGAACGAGTCAATTATTTTGTTTTTAATGCCCTTTGTCCGTTCAGCTTTTGTCTGAAATAACTGGATCTTCCTTAGCAGCATTTCGGAATTTCGAATAAAATTTTATTATTTTCAGAATTTCGGAAGTGCCTGACATTGTCGTTCAAGCAATTTCGAATAGTTCCGGTGAACTTTTCGGATTTCCTCGTCGAAGTTATCGTTATACGTTTGCATGCATTTCCGCGGATGAGTAAATCTGATTTCCCAAAAGTATGAATTGCGCGCCGAAATTTCACGAGCAAATCTTGATCACAGAAGGGGTCAGAATGAAACGCCGGCGTGAATAAAATGCCAACATGCTGAAAATGCCTGAAGAAGTAGCTTATTGTAAAAGAGAAACATCCTGTTCGGGGGAGGAAACGCTGCTGAAAGAAATGTTACACGAAAACCGTCTGTAGCACGAAGAGTCCTTTTGACTAAACAAAATGAAAATCGGCCTATTTTTGGCGATATAGACCTTTGAAAATCAATACAAAAGGCACAAAATGTAAACGCAATAAAATCAACTCAATAAAATTGTACAAAATTCTAGCGAAGTTGTTGGACAGTTCATTTGAAATGATCGTGAATAACTCGGAAACAAAGTGCAGTATTCCTTTTTTTTTTTCAGGGGACCGTCTTTTACTAGCATTGCCCATATAGTTCCATGCAGATAATACCCCGAGACATTCGCTTTCCTGCCATTTGCTCGCAAACGGCATCGTGTTGTGTGATACCCAAGAAACAGACTTCATTTAATTACTTTATTACCCTTTAAAAAATGCTGCTGCCAGAAATCTTTGATGAGACATTGAGGAAACAAAAAGAAAACTATTTCCGCCAGACTGATGAATAAACTCAAAGCACAAGCCAAGTCCTGTTACCGACTTTTGTGTGTCTGACTCATGGCAACGAAGCCTCCGTTTTCCCCTGAGCCTTAAACTTTCGTTCACCACTCCACATTTTCCCGCGTAATATTTCCAAAGTGGTTTCTGTGCGCCAGGGCATGAAAAATGGTAAAACGGCATGGCCATTCAGCGAAATCTCAGTGCTGCCGTAGTTCGATAAATAAAAACAAGAAGAAAAGAGGATGATAATTTCTCCAGTGGATATGGAGGCGGCTTCCTCCATAAACTGGAGCGCGAAGTGGCAGCACCACTTCGCCTTTTGTCTCGCCGGGTTTATTTCAGGGCCGTGTTTTATGAGCCCCGAGGGCTGTTATGCAAAGTGCGCCGCGGATTGGCGTAACGCGACCAGTTGTCCCTCTTCGAGCGCAACTTGAGCGAGTTCACCAAGTCCGGCTCATGCTGCTTCTCAAAGTGAACGTTATTTCCTGCTTTCAGCTGCTTTGATTATGTAAGGAACATCATACGCAGAGTTTTCATCCATCGTGCATCAGCCAGCTGCAGGCCGACGACCTTCGAGGAAGGTTGAGAGCGTTCATATAATACGTCGTGCAATCCAAATGAGTTCTTCAGGAAAAGTACAGTACTGTACAGTATAAGAGAGAGAGAGAGCTTGTTCTAATGTAGGCGTGCAAGCATTCCACGTTTATCGCTCAGAATAAAATTCTGAAAAGTTTATGATGTGCGATCATGATTATTTTTTAGTCTGTTCTGCGTGTGTGCTTCGTATTAGATCAGGAAATATGAAACGCGAAAACCTGCTCAAGATCAGTCTTATGTATAATGGCATTCAACCATATTTGCATCGAACGAAATTCCTTGATACAATTTGTTTTGTCATGTTACCAGCACTCAGTTCACCACATGTTACCACGGGTGGGGACCCTGAGATGCGGACATTATCCCTATGTTGGAGCATGTATGTTTCAGATCAAGGTTTCTCCGTGGTTTTCAGTGGGAGAAATCATGTTTGTAGCAATTTTGGTATGAAGACCCCGGAAGATTCAATGAAAGTTTTTTTTTCTTAACTGCAAGGTACGGTACAGGAAAAACTGTACTGTATCTTGAAGATATAGACAACGCTGAGTCTAATATTCCGTCGTCAAAAGTAGCAGAAGAAGTCAAAAGCAAGAACAAATCATTCTGAACTCTGCGCAGACTATTAAAAAAAAACTCTGAAAGCAGAAGCACAAATTAGCCTGGTTTCAATTAAGAATTGAAGTAATTTTGTAATAATGCAATTTATTTTTAAATTTATTTTTGAATACACTGCAGATTAGCTCAATTCCTTCAAGAGATGTCGAAATGTTGGCAATTTCAACTCAGTCAGCAGGGAGAGACGACCGGAATGCGATAACCAGTTGTCAGGAATGGTACAGTATTCTGCAGTTACGCCAACTGTCTCTCAACGAAGCAATATTCCATGGGATGGTAATGCGTCGTGACTCGTGAGTTCCTAGCGCGGCTTCTGGTTCACGAGTGCAGTACTTCCAAGATTGCCTGGGGGGACAATGGAGTGCACAATCTGATCATTAGAAACATCAATGGATCTCTCCTTTTTCTCGTTTTCCACGCAGAAATTGAGCACACTCCTTGACACAACTAGGGAATAATTCTCACCCGAGTTCAATCGAAATCCCGGAGATGATGTTTCCATTGGGACTCGTAGTTCTGTAATTTTCTGCAAAATTCTACAAAGGCGTCGGGCGATCTCACACGAAAATTTCCAAAATTTTCGTATTAGCTCTGAAAAGAAGTATTGCAAATGCAGGGGACCTCGAGATGCGGACGAAATTGCTGCTTGGACCTTCTCAATACGTTGGAGAGTCTGTAACGTTTTCCCAAGGACTACAACGGAATTAAATTTAATGGATTTTTCTGTCGTCAAAAATCAAGAATAAAAACCCAAAAAATTGAATGCGAGTTTTTTTTCAATTTCAAAATGTAGAAACTTGCTGTATCTTGTAAAACACTGCACAGGATCTCTCATTTTTTGCATCAGAAGAATGAGCCAAAAAATCAAACCAAGAACAAATATATCTATGCTGTGCACACTTGATGGGAACAGCTCTGGAAAATGGGCACAAAATTGGACTTTTCTTGATTATGAAACAGAGTAGATGTGATCATATATTGAACTTTTTTCAATTTTTCGAATATAAATAGCTCTATTTGTTCAAAAGAGATTTCAAAATTTAGAAAAATAAAATTTTTACCTTTGTCTAGTAATGATAGTAAAGCGTCTGTATCTCAAGACATTGTCCAGATGTCAGGGCAGATTTCTAAATGTCGAGAGCAAGTGGAATGTCCGTATGTTGGGGTCCCTCTGCGCATCAGGGTAAAAAATTTAAGGCTTACTCCCATCCAGTGGCACTTTTCCGACACGAATCTCAAGAGAACGCAGCATCGTGCGGCCCATAGCCCGTCCGAAAAAACTTTCCACTCCTTCAGAAAAGTACAGTATGTTGCCATGGTATAGACGGGTTAGCAGGCGAAATGATGATGATTTTCCGGACAGAATCCAGTTTGTGCTAGGTTTAACCCTCTTGGGCCTCGAACTTTTTGCTATGCTTCCCATCTTCATCCTGTGTTGAGGCCTGTCAGGAAGCTGGAGAGAGAAGAGGGTTCCAGTTGATGGGGTCGGAAACGCGCAATATAAGTTCATCCTGGTGGCAGGTGTTGAGGAGATGAGCGTGCGAGTGTTTATTGCTGCGCGGCAATTCCCCGAACTTATCAACTGGGAAAAAGGGTGCTTCACATTTCTTAGTTTATTGTTTCCCTTCACGAAATAGACACTTCGCGTCTCGCACTATAAAATCGAATTTCACTTGTGTGACTCCTACTTGGATAATCATGTACAGTTCTGTATAATGTGTAGTGTGGAGCCTCGGCCTACTGATAAATTGACTTGGAATAACACTAGGAACAGAACAAAAGAAACTGCCCCAAAATCCAAAGAATGTTCTGAGATCTGGTGACTTTTCCAAGATTGCTAGATAATTTGAATTTGTTCTTCAAAATTCAGATATCTCCTGAACCACTGGAGCTCTTTATACAGTATTCACAATAAATTCATTATTGATTCACTCAAGTTCATAATCAAACACAGTCCTATATTGGTTATTCTCCTCCATTTGGAATTGTTTTCCATCATAATCTGTGTTCGTTAAACTGTAAAAAGACTCGTGCTTGTTTTTTTTATGCTTGAGCTAATTTAGATGCCACCAAATATGATTTTATGTGGTTTTCTTCTGCAAACTTATTTTCGAAATCGTTAAGGATATACAGTATTTTATTCTCTTTTCAGGGACTCTTTTATAATTTTTTGACAGACATAAAAAATAATTGAATATGTTCCCATTGAATCCTACGGGGAAACATGATCTAACATCTGGATGTTTCAACTGAGAACCAAGGTCCAGTCCAAAAAAGTGTCCACATCTCGGGGCCCCCATTATTATCTTTCCTTGTCACTTTTCTATTCAGATTCGTATACTTTACTGTACTTCAGTGAACGCATGGACTCTCATACATCACGAAACTGTATGTTAAGAGAACAAATTCTGTGAAGGGTGAAAAGTAAATGTTTCGTGAACATCATTGATTACAATTACATGATGATTCTGGAGCGTAGGAGTTCAGTGGAAAAATTGATTCCTCTTTCGAAATCTAAGTACTGTAATTCTCATACTAAATGATGGAGTTTTGGATGTTTAGAGTGGATGACTCGAAAAATTCGTCGATCAGGAAATCTGACTGATGAATCATGTGATTGAAGTGTGTCATTTCGCTGCGTGTTTTCTTTCAGCTGAAACTAATTTATCCTTTTTAATGGATCCCATAGATGACATCTCTTTTATGACATTGTTTTATTTTATTTTCGATATTTTTGCAGGTAGTAGAGAGCAACAAAGTGTCGTTGAGTGACTAATTTCATCCAAACATGTGATTTCGCGAGTGCCGGTCCGCGGAGATGCGACGATAATGAACGCGAGACGGAAACCAGGAAACAACAGTTGAACTCCCTCGGAAACGTGTGTCTTCGACAAAGGATATACCCGAGATTGAATTGTAAACGTGAGAAGAGAAGAAGAAATTGACATAAAACCGGGATGACTTTATCTCGGATCAGCAAGTACGACGACCGGGATTGCATCCCGATGCGGTCTGTCGGTGGCTCGTCATCGACGAGCTCGTCCCTCGGCACGGCGCCAGTGTCGATGACGACTCGCACAAACGGATTCCATCCGCCTGTCCATCAGCTGCAGCACCAGCAGCGATTGCAACAGCTCCAGAAACAGGTTAGTACTGTGCTTCACTTTGAATTGGCAGTGTACTTGTCCAGATCAATTCAATCAGCTCGCTCAGGGTTTTTTTATATGTTTTCTTTCTAACTCTTTTTTCCACGGGTACGGAATGCATGATCCCGCATGACGATGAAATTTACGTATATTTCGGTTTCGGTTCATGCTATGAACAAAGCAATGTGGCTACTTGAATTTGGAAGGTGTGATACCTGTTGCTTTTGAACGCAGTGTAGTGAAGACCAGTGTTTCCATCCCCTGGTCAGCGGACCAGCAAAACATTTTCGCAGACCAGCGCCGGAAAGTTGTTTTTTGGTCTGGAGGAAATGTTGGTAATAAATTAATCAAAAGTAGCCATGAAGTACATCATGTTATCCTTATCATATATTTTTTCAAGACAATGGCATTTGAAATTATCTGATGATAAGATAAAATTTGGTTCATCTCTTAAAAACTGTGGAAGAAATATGTTCAAACGCTGAAATAAATTATTTGAATTTTTTCTTTTTTTGAGAAACCTTCCTTTTCTTTTTTTTGGAGACATTTCACTATGCAGCTGCTTCATTGTTTCATATTTGAAAAAAAAATTCCAAATGACGGCCGTAAAGTCTTTCAAATAAAACATTTTTCAGTCTGCAAACATTTTATAAAACGTGACCAGTCCACAAAAAATCAGTGGGAAATTTACCGGTCTGCAAACAATTTAGTGGAAATTTGCTGGACCCAAAAAGTTTGGGTTGCAATGGTATATACAATAGATAATAGCAAAGTGTGGCAATTTCTATATTAAACTCGTATATTTTTGAACTCACCCTTGGGTTATGACCATATATACGCGAACAAAAATGCAGTGATGCACCGAGATTCATAATGGACTCAATTTCTTCTCGTATTGTGTGCATATGTGTTCCGGAGGTGGTCCATGGGGGATCCCATTTTCCGTTGAAATACAATAGGAAAATGTTAAACACTCCCCATGATTACCAACAATTGAAAAAGCCCTCAACTTTTGAAAATACTTTTTCAACTTTGAGACAAAAAAAAACTGAGCAGAGGAAAACCACGCAGAATCTGCCCTTCTCGCACAAAAACGGGTATAAAATGAAAAAAAAATAATACTTTACATCCCAGAACGCATACTTGCTATACTGAAGCAACATGTAAGTGCGTTGAAAATTGACGTGTTTTGAAGAATAAAGTAGAGTGAACTTTCGATTAACTTCATTTTGACTTTTTTCCATACTCATTTTTTTTCAGGATGACTTGAACGCATCGAAATGATTGTTATATTCAGTTCATGACGCAATAATAATGAAAAATTTCGAGGGAACATTTCGGTATGTGAGAACAACTGCATTGACCATTTTAATTGCCGATGAGCTTATATACTGTGTAAAAAAGTTTAGCCTTTAAAAGTTTAAATTGAAAAAAAAGTATCCCGAATCTATTAATGTTAATGTTGAACTATTTTTGAATTATCGCTGTACTACGTGGAATGATGACGAGTCACAAGAAATGTTTTGTTAATGGTGTTGAAAATCTTTAGAGCACGCCAAAACAAAAGAAAAAATACCAAGAATCACCCGAATGTATTATCAAGAAAATTACTTGGAAGAATCAATTCAAAAAGTATGCCACAGAATTAATTCATGTAGCGACGTTCTCTCTGATTCGAAGCATGAAGATATTAAAGAGTTTTCGATATACTGGTGTTTAATTCTATGCCAAAATTTTGAAGAGCTCCGACGGAACTGCTTGAGATGGAAGAAGCTTTAGCAATACGATCATTTTACGTCGTTTCAATCCCTTATTCTTCAAATTCTGTACCTCACTCGTATAATGCAAATGTTCACAGTGCTTGCATGGAATGGAATGCTTCCACCTTGAAAAACAAAGTATGACCTTTGTCATTGGAATAATACTGCATTTCATTCCTAGATTGTCTGCATTCCTTTGAAATTGGAACGGAGTCCACAACTTCTCCCCCATCCAACTTCAGCCCCGGTGAAATGTTTGCTCCGGGATTATTTCAATAGGCATTTCAGACTCGGATGCAATTAATCTAAATCTGTTCATCTGAAAATTATTAATAGTAAACTTTTGAGTGAGAATCATTTAATGCTCACAACTTGGCGTTTCAGGTTGACTGTGACGATTTCCATTTCTTGAATGAATGAATGAACAGAACACTTTATTTGCCGCTTTTCAGCATTCACAAAGTTCAATCGAGATTTCCACAACCAAGCCCCCTTCCCACCCATTTATTTATAATGTGCTGAACGTAATGTAGATTTGTATACATTCTATTCCTCCTAATAAAGTGGAGACCTTTATTGCAAAGTAATCGTGATTTTACATGTTTATCCAGGACGAAATTGGTTTAGTAATTAAAGCTGAATTTATATTGCTCAACCCCCTCGAATGAATATGTTGGTATATTTCCTTTTGTGAGGATTCTAACTCATTTTCGGTTTCTATTCGTAATTCCATCGATAATAAACCACGAGGTTTCGAGAGGTCGTCAGATGCACAACGTGAGGCTCGATGCACCCCTTGCGAAACCTACCATTGCAAAGTTTCAGCGGTATTTCTTGAGTATGCCAATAATATGCCATCATCCTTGGGAGAAATGGGGGACGCCACCCAATAAATACATCAGATTTTATAAGGCAGTAGATTTGCGCCATCTTTGCGGCGCCAAAGTCCAATTTTTTCAACTCCAATCTTTTTCAGCTCCAAATCTTTTCAGCTCCAAATTTTTCAGCTCCAATCTTTTTCAGCTCCAAATCTTTTCAGCTCCAAATTTTTTTAGCTCCAAACTTTTTCAGCTCCAAACTTTTTCAGCACCAATCATTTTCAGCTCCAATTTTTTCAGCCCCAATTTTTTCAGCTCCAAATTTTTTCAGCTCCAAACTTTTTCAGCTCCAATTTTTTCAGCTCCAATTTTTCAGCTCCAAATTTTTTCAGCTCCAAATTTTTTCAGCTCCAAAATTTTCAGCTCCAAACTTTTTCGGCTCCAATTTTTACAGCTCCAATTTTTTCAGCTCCAATCATTTTCAGCTCCAATCATTTTCAGCTCCAATCATTTTCAGCTCCAATTTTTTCAGCTCCAAATGTTTTCAGCTCCAAACTTTTTCAGCTCCAATTTTTTCAGCTCCAAATGTTTCAGCTCCAACTTTTTACAGCTCCAATCTTTTTCAGCTCCAAATTTTTTCAGCTCCAAATTTTTTCAGCTCCAAATTTTTTCAGCTCCAATCTTTTTCAGCTCCAATTTTTTCAGCTCCAATCTTTTTCAGCTCCAATTTTTTCAGCTCCAATTTTTTCAGCTCCAATCTTTTTCAGCTCCAATTTTTTCAGCTCCAATATTTTTCAGCTCCAATTTTTTCAGCTCCAAATTTTTTCAGCTCCAAACTTTTTTGGCTCCAATTTTTTCAGCTCCAATTTTTTCAGCTCCAATCTTTTTGAGCTCCAAATATTTCAGCTCCAAATTTTTTCAGCTCCAAATTTTTTCAGCTTCAAATTTTTCAGGTCCAAACTTGTTCAGCTCCAATTTTTTCAGCTCCAATTTTTTCAGCTCCAATCATTTTCAGCTCCAATTTTTTCAGCTCCAGATTTTTCAGCTCCAAATGTTTCAGCTCCAACTTTGTACAGTTCCAATCTTTTTCAGCTCCAATTTTTTCAGCCCCAAATTTTTTCAGCTCCAAACGTTTTCAGCTCCAATTTTCCAGCTCCAATTTTTTCAGCTCCGAATATTTTCAGCTCCAAATTTTTTCAGCTCCAAACTTTTTCAGCTCCAATTTTTCCAGCTCCAATTTTTTCAGCTCCAATTTTTTCAACTCCAAATTTTTCAGCTCCAAATTTTACAGCTCCAACTTCTTTCAGCTCCAATTTTTTCCACTCAAATTTTTTCAACTCCAATTTTTTCAAACTTAATTCACGGATTTTAATTTGTTCCATGCACTGGTTTGGTAACCAGGGGGTTTGTTGACCAAAATCAGATCCACCATAGACTTACATGTTAGAAATTTTAATTTGTTCCAAATTTCCAAAACTCTTTCCCAATTACTAAACTTTTGAAATTTGTCATAAATTGAATTCTGAGCTGATTGTCAAGTACTTTTTGGCATTGCATGCACAAAGATGTCCTCTAATTTTTTTTTTGATTATGCCAAAATCTGAAAATTTGACAGAATTACAACCAAAAATGTAAAAACATTTTTGAAAATCGTACAAAAATCATCAAAAAATTTTTTACTTTTTGAATTTTGCCTCTTTTAATTTGCAACAGTTTTCCATGAAAAAAGAGTAAGCTTGTAAAACATCAGTGTGCATGACAACCTGTAAATATTTGCAAAATCAATCATGTGTTAAATGGCTTGCCCTTTTCATTTTTTAATGATGCAGCAAATTTGTCCAGGATAATTCATTGGGTTTTGCAATAAAAACATTCCCCTTTCATTCTGTTGAAGTTTGACACATTTCTAGCGCCCTACCTGTAATTTAACGATATAGACTTTTCTTTTATCCGTGTGCTAACATTATTGTTGAAAATGCATGATACCTGTATTTTCAAATCTGCAAATATATACACATTATATCTGATGGTGTCTCCTATGAATTCAAGAAATCCTTCCGAAATTCGATCGGTTGTCAAATCACTTCTGTCTCGTGGTTGTCCAATCACTTTTGTCTCGTATCTTCCTCTACATTTTTCTCCGTTAAAATTAAATTCCAGATTAGGTGGAAGGGGTTCATTCTATTATTCTCCCCGAATTCTCAGTACAGCTTTAGTGGTACATGTTTACCGTATTGTGTCGTAAATCTGAAAATTGCAACGTTTTTTTCTGCGGAAGAAAATATTTTCTTTGCAGTCTGAGTTCTTGCGGAAAACCTAGCTGACTCTGGCATGACGAAGTCGAGTAATAATAGTCTGAAAAGCTTTTCATGGATCTTTCTGCGATCGCTGTTCAGTCGCACTGAAATTTTCCTATTTTCTACATTCGTGATGTAATCAAACCTTTGACCTCTTTTCCAAGTATGTAATCTTTTGCTCAGCTTCATCAATTTAAACTTCCATCTTCTATGACAAACGTTCGGAAATTAGTAGTATTCGAGTGTAATTTTGATTCGATTTCGAAGATCCGATTCGTTTTCATGCGTCTACTCTACTACCGTAAGAATTTTATTTTCTTGAAATGAAGCGTCGATTTTGCTTTCTCTTTACCTGCTGCATTTTCAACCATTTCCTTTTCCAAAGATGTTGAATGGTTTTCCGATTTCCAGTGAGTCTTTGAGGGGGTCGAAATTCTTTTACGTTCAATTGGATGAATGTTCCATGTGTTTCCTTCCTCAACTTCTTGATTGTTTGGCATCTTTGAGCTTCAAAATTAAAACCCACGCAAGTTTATGGATTACACCTTCAAGGAATGTTCGGAGGTCAGACGATCGTTCCCAATAATACCCACTAGTCAACCATCCATACTGACCCAGAAGGAAATTCGAAAAGATTTCTTCCAAATTTCGTTTTAACTAAACTCTTTAAAACGGAATTTATACTTGAAGTGGTATCTGTTCAACAAACGGAAAAAATGGTTACAAAAATGATGATGCTTATTAGACCTATGACTACATTTTCAAAATGCAATTCTCTCTCTCTCTCTATTCTGTTCACGCCAAACAGCACATGCAGCGACATCACTACTTGGCGCCGGAACGGTCCGAGTCGCCGGCGTCGCACCTGGGCATGGGTGGCGACTACCCGGGGGACGACTCGTGCGTGCTGGTTCCCGAGGAACGCGTGGGTCTCCTTGCCAAGAACGCGGCCCGAGCGGCCCCGCCTGCTGCTCCCAGCAACGGCCACCGAAACGGGGCTCCACCGGCTGCTGGCCCGAAGAAAAACCGGAAGTGAGTACAGTATAATAATGTACCTAACTGTGTGTTTCTGGATGACCGCGTCTTTACCTGTCACTTTTCTGCTGTGCACCGACCTATTTTACTGTGTTGCACAACAGTCTGAAAACTCGCCGCGTGATATATTTTATATACTGTAAGGTACATATTCTAAATATACAGTACTGTACTGTAGTCGGGTTTTCACGCATTGGATTCGGGCGTTGACAGCATATTGCATGCGTGTTTCGGATAACGGACTGCCTATTAGTGGCGAAGTGTCAACCTCAGTAGATTTGGTCAATGGAAGAGACGGAATAACTTCGAGTCCTTTTTTTATCAGAGCATTTCGAAATATTTTACGCAGAGAAGATGGGGATATATTTAATTTTATTCAATGCTCATTTCCAACAAATTACGCAATAATCATTTTGCAGTAGGCTCTCATTATGCATCGAATGTTTTGATAATAACGATTTATAGATTAAAACGATGTTGTTTTTCAAGGTCCCTGTGCACAATTTTCATGATGTGGAGGATTCGTTTCGAATCGAATTTCCTTTTGCGATTTTTTTTTTTTTTTGGTTTGGAAAGCTTCGTTGTAACAAGATGTCATTGTGGTATGTACAGTATATAGTTTTACATAACTCAGATTGCCTGTAATTTAGCCGGGATTGGAACATTTTAACCATTCCCCATAGTTTGGTATTGCATTATTCACATCCTTTTCCGATGAAAGACTTCTTATCGAAATGATTCGAGACGTCAAATCACAAAGACGACGACAGCTTTGGTTGAAAGACATGTTCATATTTTTCACACTTAATACGTGGGCTGCATTCATTTTTTGACTCTAAGACAAATAATCGCTTCTGAAAAAAAAAATTTCTTCTACGAATTAGGTTGTCGGCCTTTTTCTGTTTCAAGCGGATGAAATCTGCTCTGTATTTTCTTACTTGCTTTGAAAGAGGTTGATAACGCGACAACTAATCCAACATCGAGTAAACGTTGAAACATACGACCCAGATACAGTGACATTTCAAGTTCAACCCCAATTTTTTCGAGGTGTCTGATTTTTTTCTTGAATACCTTTCTTCACATTGACATGGCAGCGATTATTTTGCTTATAAGATTGATCCGATATTATATTAATCACGTTTCAAAAATGGAGCCTTGATTGTCAATTCTTCAGTGGAATGCTTTGGGTTTTTGAAGAGGTGTTGGCATCTCATGGTGTGAGCAAATTTTAATAAAGAACACTGATCCAATCCGATTAATGAAGGCAGCGGTTCTAATATATGATCTGACGTAATGATATCATATATGCCGGCAGTATATTTTCTTCTTCTTGAGGGTCTAAATTGATTCATCTTGCATTCATATGTTTAAAATCAATGTGTTTGATAGATACCCAGTGTACAACTACAAAACCAGCTTTGTGCATTGGGGATGAATACGATCACAACAGTGCTGTAATTACGCAAACCAGCAGTTCATGCCTTCCAAATCATAATTCGAAACGTGTTTCAAATTGGAATGGATGGGGTTCCACCCGTCGAAATGGGTGCCATGGATTATCATACTTATTAGGCAAGAAAATCGGAAAGACAATTCATGTTCAAGTCATAATTACGTTTTTATTAGGTGAAATAGCTCAAACTAACGTTCTCTTGATGCTCGCGAAAAGTAAGAGCGAGAAAAGGGAACTGACAAAATCCCGACTGGGGTGATCCCTACGCCGCGCACCGCCTGTCTTTCCTTGGATGGACATTCCCGTACATATAGGTTAGGTTAGATTAGGTGAGGTTAAATTCAGTTAGGTTAGGTCAGGTTAGTTTAGGTGGGCTGTAAACCTTTTTCATCATTCGTACAGGGGAATGTCCATCCAAGGAAAGACAGGCTATGAGCGGCGTCGGCATCTCCCCGATCGGGATCATGTGCGTGCCCGAGCGAAAACGCGCTTGAAGAGCAAGAGATGCGACATCTGTGTTACTCTATTAATATATTTAGTCTAATCTATAGGCTTGAATAATATACTGTGTCGTGAAGTTGATCCTCAATGCTGTAACTCCAACCTCCGTAATAAATCGAATGCCTTTGTTTGTCGACTTTTTCAAGTTCCTGATCCATCAATTCCTTTTCTGAAACAATGCATAAAAAGCATTTTAAAGTCAAAGGCTTTTCGTCTCTCAAACCTCTATGACTCAAATTTTCTTGGGCCCTTTCCCTGTTCCTCTCTTGACACAGGAAAGAGGAAAGCAACAGGAACAATTACATTGATGTGTTTTAAAGGAAGTACAAGACTAATTGGGCAAATTAACCGTTGCTTACAACTTAAGCGTTCTCTCAACTCATTTAAAAGGAAATTTAAAGCCCAGAATATCACCATTTACAATTTCCTGCAATTCTTCCATCGTTCCTGCAACAAAACAAGTGCTTGCTTTCTTAACCCGAATTTTTTCCCTGGTCCCATGAAATGCGACTGCTGAGAGAGGTTATTCGACTGCATTAATTTATTCATTCATATGCATTGCATATGTATTTTTCGAGTGTCTTTAGCGATAGGCCCTCTTGATGCTAAAAAGCTGAAAACGATAGCATCACAGATGCCGCGTCTCGTTTTCCTGGAACGCGTTTTCCGTCTGTAAAAGCTGGCGTTGTCCTGTTCCCCCAGCATTTACCGAGTTTCTTGTTCACAAGCTGAAATAGCTTCGCCTCATGCTGAGGACGCGTGTTTCTCCGCGTCCGCGTTTAAGCGGAAGTCGACAGGGAGCTGGAATATAAAGAGCGAGACGCGGATGCTGTTCTGTGCTCTTTGTATATTGTACAGTATACAGTACAGTACAGTATATGCACGCAGCTGTCTTTGCGGAAGTGCAGGCCGTGGTGGTGGTGTGGAACCCCGGGATTCTTCTCAGAAACAGAAAGGGAGACTAAATACAAGCAGTACAGTAAAGGGGAATGGTGGGATTGAAGGGCGTGAAACAGGGCTGGGATTCACGCCTTTTGTTTTGTGTCAAAGCGGCGCGCTTTGGAATGGGATTCTGGGGGAATGCAGAATTTCCATCTTATTCCTCTTTTAGGGTACAGCACTGTATTGTACTGTATTAAAGTACAGTATAACACAGCCGTGGAACCTGGATGAGCCACCACAATTGTTTTGTGAGATTTTTTTTTTGGCTAGTCCCAAGTCCCAACATACGTACTGAAGATACGACTTGGTGACCCTTGAAATTCGAGAAATCCTCTGCGACATCCGGACAATTTTTAGACATACAGCCCCTTTTCCAAAATATTTAGAGAGAGGACCTTTCAAAATTTCGGCATCTTGAAGAAATCTATCAATTTTACGTTCACAAATATGAAAAATGTATATTTGTTTAATTTATTCGAGTTGATCATTGAAACAGGTTAATTTTATGATTCTTTTGCCTGATTTTCCCATCATCTGTGCACAGTATTTAGCAAGATTTCCTCTTATTCTTAGGTTTTTTCATGCAAGAAGATGAGATGCTGTGTAGTTTTCTCTCTTGTGCACAGTTACTTCTGGTATCTTCAAGTTGAGAAACATTTTTCATCAAATATTTTGGGGTGGTTGCTATTATTTATTTATGAACTGGAAAACCGCTTGAATAAGTCCCCGTTGGAAGTCTGTGGGAAAACGTGATTTGACACGTGGATGCTCAGATGAAGTGACAAGATATAAGAAAAAATTACGTCCGTATCTCGGGGCCCCCACTGTAATTTATCGTGGGTTTGTTTTTAGGGCTTGTCGAAGGCACTTCCGATTCTATACAAGTATTGCATGGTGTTTTGTTAATTCTTGGTTCTGATAACAGGTTATTTGCTTGTTGATATGTGCTTCGTGACTTACCATTGGTTCATCAGTTTCAATTACGGCTTACGGCTTTTTTTCAAGTGTAAACGGTTCGTTTTCGATTTATGATACACTCACATATCGAGGATATACGTGCGAAGATAAAATAGTAGCTAAGAAAGCTACTGTGCTCAAATTTGATCTCATGAAAGCCAGTGGCCGTTTCGAGGACTTTTCCTGATGATTTTCTGAGCCTTCCCAATTCTGGCGGCTCCACCAAAATTGCACCACGTTTTCTGTCCCAAGAAAGTAAAACAAAAAACACGGACATTGGAGAGAGATGTTCTGTTGATGATGTCATTCTGTATTCCCAGAATACTTCATCGAAATGTCTTCATCACTATTTCATTCATTCGGTTTAGATTAGCATAAAAAATAGTCAGTGCGTCGTGTTCCATTGAGATACAAAATCCCGACAGGAATCCGTGTCGACTCGCGCTCAAAATTCCAGTCCTAACGATCCGAAGACTTTCGTTGAAATAATTTAAAAATTGAATTTTTTAAATGGTAGAAACTTCAGCTTAACGATGCCAGAGTGCCATCAAGTAGAGAATATAATGCTTCTGAAGGGAAATCTCTTTATCCCACTGTTGAACCAAGCATAATGCGGTACGTAATGCAGACAGAAGGGCTTTCAAGAGTTGCCTCGTTTCGAAAATTTTAATATTCTCTCTTGTTTTGTGCGAGAAAAAATGATTAAATAGGTTTCCAAGGAAATGATTCCCTTCACAATCCGCTATAACGTGCCGGTTCTTTTTTTTTTTTTAGGATCTCCGATAAACTGATTTCAATTTCGGAAAGATTAAATGTGGAACCTTGTCTTTTTTGATGCTGTTTTTACAAATTTTTGCTTTTTGAAAACATGGTTTTTTAGATTAATTTTGTAATCTACTAAATTTTTTATTTATTTATGAACTGGAAAACCGCTTGAATAAGTCCCCGTTGTAAGTCTGTGGGAAAACGTGATTTGACACGTGGATGCTCAGATGAAGTGACAAGATATAAGAAAAAATTACGTCCGTATTTCGGGGCCCCCACTGTAATTTATGGTGGGTTTGTTTTTAGGGCTTGTCGAAGGCACTTCCGATTCTATACAAGTACTGCATAGTGTTTTCACAATTCTTGGTTCTGATAACAGGTCATTTGCTTGTTGATATGTGCTTCGTGACTTACCATTGGTTCATCAGTTTCAATTACGGCTTACGGCTTTTTTTTCAAGTGTAAACGGTTCGTTTTCGATTTATGATACACTCACATATCGAGGATATACGTGTGAAGATAAAATAGTAGCTAAGAAAGCTACTGTGCTCAAATTTTATCTCATGAAAGCCAGTGGCCGTTTTGAGGACTTTTCCTGATGATTTCCTGAGCCTTCCCAATTCTGGCGGCTCCACCAAAATTGCACCACTTTTTCTGTCCCAAGAAAGTAAAACAAAAAACAAAAAAACACGGACATTGGAGAGAGAAGATGTTCTGTTGATGATGTCATTCTGTATTCCCAGAATACTTCATCGAAATGTTCTCTATTTCATTCATTCTATTTCATTCACTATTTCATTCATTCGGTTTAGATTAGCATAAAAAATAGTCAGTGCGTCGTGTTCCGTTGAGATACAAAATCCCGACAGGAATATGTGTCGACATGCGCTCAAAATTCCAGTCCTAACGATCCGAAGACTTTCGTTGAAATAATTTAAAAATTTAATTTTTTAAAATGGTAGAAACTTCAGCTTAACGATGCCGGAGTGCCATCAAGGAGGGAATATAATGCTTCTGAAGGGAAATCTTTTTATCCCACTGTCAAACCAAGCATAATGCGGTACGTAATGCAGACAGAAGGGCTTTCAAGAGTTGCCTCGCTTCGAAAATGTTAATATTCTCTCTTTTTGTGCAAGAAAAAATAATTAAATAGGTTTCCAAGGAAATGATTCCCTTCACAATCCGCTAACGTGCGGGTTTTTTTTAAGGATCTCCGATAAACTGATTTCAATTTCGGAAAGATTAAATGTGGAACCTTGTCTTTTTTGATGCTGTTTTTATAAAACCTATTCAAAAGCACCTTCTCCTGTTCAGAGAATGTGTTTCATCTACGTTAATGGATGGATCCTCGGTTCCGAGAACTACAATTCTGTTAAGACGTCTTGAAGATTGAAATGTCCTTTACACTTATATCGAATCTCTCGCAATTGAGTGGAGCCGTGCGTCATTGAATAGAATACTCATTTTTCCTTTTCTAGAGATATTCTCAACAGGACCGAGAAGTCAATCCGATTTTCTCCGAAATCAATCCCGACGAATTCACACCAATCTAATGTGGCACCGCGGTCTCCAGATAAGATGTTCTATAAATCTATGCTCTACTGGGAAATTAAATTACGGTTTTTCCGCCCTCCGGAAATGGAAATGTGGTTTCATCGCAAACAAAAAAGCACTCCAAGCAATTTCCTAGACTTCCGAGCGATATTTCAAGCAATTTTGCAGTGACGGCACATCCTTTCTGAATCTGCCGAAGGAAGAAGGGTGGGAATTCGAAATGCAAACTTCAAGATCATTCGGCTTTGTGACGCAGTTCAAGGAAATACTTACGAGTATGAGATTAAATTGTCACGTTTTCCTGACATTCCTATGCACTGAATGCACACTTGTGATTTCTTTGGGGCAATGCCCTCACAAAGAGCAAGTTAAAACAAGACACAATGAATAAAGTATGAGACACAATCCGCCGGGGAACATGACAGGGAAGCCCTCGGTAGGACTTTTAGAAGACGAGATAAAGATATTACAAATTTAGACAAGAATCTGACACACTGGTTAGAATATGGCTTGCAAAACAAAATACAGTATACGCTGCGTGAGGAAATTTGAGACTGGAGAAATGTTAGCATCAAAAAAATGGAGGGAAAAGGTTTGTGGTGAGCTTGTGGGAATTCCTGTATGAAATTTCCCTGTTGGAAGTATTTGCGATATTTTTGGGCTAGAGGTTTGCATTCCTGCCAACATCTGTGCCTTACAATTTCTTTTGCGGTGATTGAAAATTCTATGTTGGTTTCGACTTGCTGCAGCAAAATTTTGTTCAACTAAATGTTTTGCTCGCAAGGGCATCTATACAAAAAGTCAGTCATTCACTCGGTCAGCAGTGATGTAAAATCATTGTCCATGAAGTCGACCTTTCCGTACTTTAATGATGAAAACGAATTGTTTCAGTAAAGTTGATTTAATTGACAGAAAATAGCGTTCTCTAAGGGATTCCAAGTTAAGTTGGCTTTTGACGTTGATTTTTGCATGCAAATGCTCAATATTGTTGCGAATTCGAATTTTGCCACGCATTTCCCATTAAATTACTGAGATAACCATAAGAATTTTGTTGTCTTGAATCACGAAGAAAAATAGACTGAACTACAGTACTTCAATTTCTATCTTACAGATTCACTAGTCCACATGCTTAATTGTTATTTTGTACAATTCAGCGGCATCAATAGTACTTGTTGGTCACGATTCTTCTCTGCATCCTTTCAAAGCTATTCAAAAAAGACTTTGAGGAGTTTTCCGATGCCTAACTGTATACTGTATTTGTAACCAATAAGCAGTGATGTTAAATTCAAATCCTTTATTTATAAACTTTGTCAAATACGGTCACATAGACATGCATGTGGTCATCAATTTGGATTGGCTGGCAATAAATACACTCATCTCATTACAAAATATAGTTCCTTTAAAGAGAATGATTGGAAAGGTATTAGAAAGCATTGGAATAACTCGAAGCATGGCAAAATTTCTAGAAAAACAACTTTACATATTTTTATAAGTGAGTTCAGTATATAAAGCAAAATAATGTGACTACATTCAAGCACCATGTACGCATTTGTGTATGCATTGCACTGCATAATTTCCGGCTTGAAAAAAGTATTTTTCATACTGGAAAGCCTCCTGTCAGTATCACAGACACTCAAATCAATTTTTTCAAACGTTCTTTGCTAGGCTGGAAAATATTCATCTACATGTCTGTGACAAGCTGAAAAACCTCCATTGAACTACAGCAGCATTTTATAGGGAATTCGCAAGTTCTTTTAAAATCTCTTTTATCAATGTTTGTCAATTTAGGTCAGTCTGAAGGTGGGACTCATGGCTCAAAAGCTGACGCTATTTATGCAAAGAATGTCAGCTAGTCTGATTTGAAGCATTTTGTTTGATTTGCTGGCCCATCAGCGCAAAAAGAATGGGGCCCTTTGGAATTGATCCAGATGCACTTCGGACTATATGCTGGGAAATATTCCTGTTTCTCCGTCCAGGTATTTCTCTCGCCCTTGTCATGTCCAAATTTAGATTTCAAGAACCATATGGTACGAACTTGAACCTAAATTTACGTGTTTTTCACGGCTCCGTTGTCGTCAGTGTGACGCTTCGTAGACTCGCTTTAATAGTCAGATGAAAACCCGCGACTTTGGCCTCAAGTCTGGGGTCTTTTCCTAGGATTACCCCCGCCATGTCGACCTGTCTGTCGCTGTCTCGCTGGCACTGCCTCTCGCCAGTTTTCCCTAATGTCGTTTCACGCCAGGGATCTCAACTTCTCGCCAGGAAAATCGTCGGAAGCCAGGTCAAACCGCGAGAGGGCTGTAGTTTGAAAAAGTCGTCAGACTATAGAGGAATGCACTCTTTCATATACGTAGCAGTCGAATCTTTTCAGGTTGAACGCCAATTGACCATTTCAAGAAAAATGGAGTTGGGGATGTTTCCAGTGAGGGGAAAAAGTAACCAGGGAAGAACGAAGTATTAATTTGCGGTACTCTTATCTTTGCATTGCTGTATTCTGATTTTTGAATGAGTTGACCAAATGCTGAATGATGTGGACGCAAGGGTTCACTTGCCCAACTAATCTTTCACTTTCTTGCAATGCACATCAAGTTACATTTTCATTGTTTTTTTTTCTTACCTGTGCCAATAGAAAAAGAACCAAGAGACCTCCGGAGAATCCATGTCAAGGGAATTTGAGGATGAAAACCATTGGATTTGGAAATTTTTCAATGCTTCGTTTCTGAACGAATTCAGGCAGGGACTTCAGAAAAAATCGCCTGACAGATGTATTCGATTTAGGAGGTTCGAATTATTGAGGTTCAACTCTGTAGCCTTTAAATGACTTCGAATGTAACATCGGATCTGCAATATGTCCTCTCGTCGTGTTCAAGTTCTAATGGTGATCCATTGATCCGCTCAAGGATCTTGAGTCATTCCCACAGAAAAATTTATGATCGAAACGTTTAATAAGAAACGACAAAAGACTTTTCATTACATACTGTGGCAAAAACGGGCTTTGCTTTTCTCGAAACGTTCCAAAGTAATTAATGTTTTTCAGTGTAAATTCACAATTTTTTTCGCTTTAGCGTAAATACTCGTATCTATAGGCGTGGGACACCATAGTTGAAGCGACTTATTAGGCGCATTGAAATATTTATTCTGGTCATTGAAATACCTGCAACTTATAAATTCTGCTGAGCGACACTTCTCAAATTATTAAATTTGCCACGAACTGATCCTGACGGAATACGGAAACTACACTGTTTTCTGCTACTCATTGAATCCTTGGGAGTAATTCCTTTGCTTTTCATGAGATTCCGATGAGCATCATCCGAACTATTGACGTCACTTCATTGATGCTTTTTTAAATCTCACAAAAATATTTAGTTCATTTTCTATTATAGTCGGTCAATTTGCTGTACGTACAAACAAGGCTGGTATTTCGCAATGTTATTTTCAACAACACGAAATGAGTTGCGGCTTATTCTTCGAGTGGATCTCAATGTCAGGAGGAAATACTGCAGTGTGGATAAGGATTTCAATTAAACCTGCGCTAATTGCTTCAGATATTGTAGAGGCGGAAGTGCTCTGTGCAACTTTTGGTGGTATGGAGGGATTCTTAGCAATGCCGTCATGGGGGGGGGGGGGGGGTCAGAAAAATTCGTTTTTCTTGCTCTAAGTGCAGGAAACATATTCTGTATACTGTACAGTATTTTCTTGTTAGTTTTCATGGGGTACTGCGTACACTGGCATTTTCGTGGAACAGTATATGCGACACGATGGTGTCTCGAAATAGGGCCAGGGCAAAATTACTGACTGGAAGTTATAATTCTGGGTGGAAAACAAACAGTTTAGGAGAAGAAAAAAAAGAGTATTCCTCCTCTCTTGGCTGAAAGACCAGCAGCGGCATTTCTTTCGTTTTCTTCCTTTTTTTATTTTACTTGAGAACACGAGCAGAATTTCCGCGATATCTGTATGTCGGTGCTGGGAAGGACCCGGCGGGAACCGTCGCCAGGAAAAACGGCACAGGGTTCTGGGTTCTGGGGCCCGGGAACGCGTGCGTGCGTGAGTTTCTGCTGGGACGCAATCCGCTCTCTGTTGCACCACACGCAACTTGTGCGATCCCAATGGGCCCCTTTTCTCTTTTAAAGAAAAGAAAAATCAGTCTTGATTGACTGCGATTGAGTTTGTCGAATCAATGCGTTTTTTGTTTTGTTGTTTACTGCAGTGATTCAAATTGTGATCTGATTATCACCTTGAGTTCATCCAGTGCAAAATGTTTTTTTATGCCGTTTTGCTGCGGTGTACCACGCAGAAGACACTTGCGTACTCGAATATGTGCTATCGAAAGTTCGCAACTTTTCTTTTGGAGCTTTCTAGTCAGGTATTCTCGTCGTTTTGTCATTCTGGAAAGGATAGATTTTTGTACTCGACCGTGTTGGCATTTAATTTATGATCATTACAGTGACAGATAGAATTCGTTCCCTGGCTCAAATTTCGGTCAGCATTTGGAGTGACTGAGTGCAAGTGTGTCACGAAAAGTTTTTATTTTAATTCTTTTGGCCGATGCTTGCGTGTAACGCCGCTACCAGCGTGCGGAGTGATTAGAGTGTCACCTAGGTAACATTCCGAGAAACTCGCTGCGTCAGTCGCCGGTGGTATGGTTAGAGCGCTGTCTCAGGACGGCGAAGTGGGAACGAGGATGACGGCGGAAAGCCGGCGCGCGGACTTTCTCATGATGGGTGGCGACGTGAGTCTCGTCGAGGACAACATGTCCGACGACATCAGCGAGCTGGACAAGAACTCCATCAATTTGCCAGAAGGGAAGGAAGAGCCAAGGTTCGCGTTTGCTTTCAATGATTTTAATTTTAACGGTACCATTTGATGAGGGGCTGAGAAGCAGAGGGATATGAGAACCGTTGTACTGTACAGGTTCGATGGACGGTCGCATTCATTTAAGGGTCGTGGATTTTTTTTTTTCGTAAATGCTTCTACTGTCGAACCTCTTCAAGTTGAACTTCAAGGGACCTGCAGAATAAATCGTATTGGGGATGTGAGCATATTTGTTTTGGGAATTGAAGAAGAATTGCTGGAAAATGTGATAGCATGGTCATATTCTAGCCCTTGAAGGGTTTCTTGATGAGTTGACAGGATGCTGAACTTGGAGTCGCGGGTTTATTTTCCCAATTAGTCTTTCACTCCCCTTTGAAACACAAGGTGACATCTTCATTGCTTTTCTCCTTCTGGTGTCAATACCCCAGGAATAACCAAAAGGCTCCCAAAGAATAATGCTGGCCCTATTATTGAGTTTTGCAGGTTTGAGGGGGAGGGAAAGTCTTCGAGTTCAGTTTTGAAAGAATTGCTTTCAAGGAAATTCAGACCACGCTCAAAAACAAATTCTACATAAAAGGGAGGTATTCAACTATGGAGCTTCAAGTTTTCAAGGTTCATCATCTGTGTTACAGGATTGCAGCCTCTGTTCATGCTGAATTTTTTCAGACCGGTTCTAGCTGCTTCACAAATGATTATTCGGGTGGAAGAATCTGATGTGGTATGATACATTACCTTCGTTCTAGTATATTTTCAAGAATGATGATCTTTTTTTCCAGTTGGACTTCCGTCCATTCATTTTGACATTGGTGCTAAGTATCATCACCATCTTTATTCGCAAGGAGAAAAATTTACCATCAATTTGCCAGAAGGGAAGGAAGAGCCAAGGTTCGCGTTTGCTTTCAATGATTTTAATTTTAACGGTACCATTTGATGAGGGGCTGAGAAGCAGAGGGATATGAGAACCGTTGTACTGTACAGTTTCGATGGACGGTCGCATTCATTCAAGGGTCGTGGAGTTTTTTTTTTTCGTAAATGCTTCTACTGTCGAACCTCTTCAAGTTGAACTTCAAGGGACCTGCAGAATAAATCGTATTGGGGATGAGAGCATTTTTGTTTTGGAAATGCAAGAAGAATTACTGGAAAACATGTATTTGCATGGTCGAATTCCAGTCCTTGAAGGGTTGCTTGATGAGTTGACAGGATGCTGAACTTAGAGTCGCGGGTTTATTTACCCAATTATTCTTTCACTTCCCCTTGAAAAACATGGTGACATCTTCATTGCTTTTCTCCTTCTGGTGTCAATATACTAATACAGTAATAGCCAAAAGCCTCGCAAAAATTATGCAGGCCCTATTATTGAGTTTTGCAGGTTTGAGGGGGGAGGGAAAGTCTTTGAGTTCAGTTTTTCATGAATTGCTTTCAAGGAAATTCAGACCACGCTCAAAAACAAATTCTACATAAAAGGGAGGTATTCAACTGTGGAGCTTCAAGTTTTCAAGGTTCATCATCCGTGTTACAGGATTGCAGCCTTTGTTCATGCTGAATTTCTTCAGACCAGTTCTAGCTGCGCACAAATGATTAATTGGGTGGAAGAATATGATGTGGTATTTATGTAATGGAAGCAAGATCATATAAAAGTTCTTACTACTAGAAAAAAAGGTCAACCTGAAGGCAGGTAAGTAAAACTGTAACCACGATTCATAGTAGTGGTAGAAATAAGCGTTCCTCTTTTTAAATCGAGAACCTGTTGACTAGTAAATACTTCGCTATTTTCTGGATTGAATCTTTTGTCGTCAAACAAATCGAATCTAGTATGTGTCTTGAAACTTTACTTCGTTTTTCGGATATTCAGAATTTTTCGAAAGGCGAAAGTTCAAACAAAATGGAATACAGTCCCCCTGAGACACAACATCTGCATATTCTTTCTGGGTAAAGGGACGGACACGTCTGTTAGAGACAATGTTCATAGTTAACAGAAGTTTTAAGTTGAATTTTTACAAAAGGTCGAAAGAAACGATAAGAAACCCTCAAGTCTGTATGTAGTGTTACATGAAGTGAACTAAACTTACCCTTGAAAACCTAGTTTAAGTGCTGAAACACATATCTCAGCGAAAATAAAATTTTAAATCAGTTGAAATTAAATTCAATTCATGTCTAAATTCAAACCTGGGCGCTCATATTCCGTATTTTTTTTTAAATGATATGGTATCAGAGTAGCTAAAAGTGGATTCACGCGTTTTACTGAGGGAAACGATTTTATCAAAATTTGAAGAAAAAAAAACCCCCTGCAGTGCGCGTCTCACTCCAGGGTGCATGGTACTGTACTTGAACTAAAATGAATACTGTACTTATAGTAAATCCGGGTTATGCACTGTACACTGTGAAGTACTACGTAACGGTATATTATCGTTCCGCTGCTTCATCGCAGTCCAACACTGTCCCCCGACATTTTCCCGTTTGTGTGTGTGTGTGTGTGTGTCATTTTGTGGAACGGGTGGCATAATAATGTAACGACACTTGTGCACAAACATCCTGCGTGAGATTTTCGTTCACGTAATATACGTATATACACATACGCGATGCAACTGCGTGATGTCCTTGCTGATGCACAGCATCACATCACATTCGTTAGCTGACGGCTTTAACGCAGAGAGCATGCTGATGCTTTTGCTACATTTTGAACTGTGAGAGCCCTATTTCTGCATGTTGGTGGGGTTAAAAGGTTGAAATGAGTTTCGATGGGGCGAGAGAACAGGGCGAGATCTGAAATATACTTGGTGACGTTATTTATATATATCTTGATATATTTTCGGATTCCCATTCGTTGAACTCCACCCTGTTGTTCAGGCAGAAATCGGAATAACAAGTGAACAGAAGCTTACATTTGTTTGGATTGTGCGCTGGAGCCAAATTATGTCCGTGTCTGAAGTAATCTTTGGAAACAGGAGAATATACAGTGAATCGCTGCTGAAGTGTGCACGAACTGCTATATCCGCGACAGTACTTTCTGTACAATTTATTTGCTGGTCATCTCTCACTTACAGAAAGGAAAACAAAGAAGAGAAATCAAAATTTCAGAATTGGGTCAGCGAGGCACTTCGTTTCTTCCTCATGCAATAATGATATTCTCCTCGGAAATAAAGATATTTCCGTTTTGTTTGAGACCATCACGAACATATGTGTAAGTCGCACTGTACCTTGAACGCGGATCTCAAGGGGAAATTGTATTTTTTTTACTTGTACGTTGCCAGTGCACTGTAGTGGAATTTGAAAATCTTTCCAATGGCGATCATAAAAGAATACAGTGCAAGAAACTAATATTTACAAATTTCGTCTTTCTCCGTTAATTTACGAATGTTACTGTCCACAGAAAAGATGCATTATGTGTTCATTAGGCAGTCATATGTAAATCAATTAGGAAACTACTTAAAATCTGCGACTATCCAGCAAGCAACAGATCAATTTTGCATGCAAGAAAAGAAAATTTGCTTCACTTTTGCCGTAGGTACAAAAAGCGGAGTTTCCAGGTCGTCAAATATTTTTGTGAAAATACGTTGATGTTACTACACTCTAACTAAATTCTCTTCACTGCGAATACTGACCCATACATAGCAACCAGGATCCCCCATCCTCAGAACCCATCTGAACCTCGCGGGAAGGTGACGTTATTTATATATATCTTGATATATTTTCGGATTCCCATTCGTTGAACTCCACCCTGTTGTTCAGGCAGAAATCGGAATAACAAGTGAACAGAAGCTTACATTTGTTTGGATTGTGCGCTGGAGCCAAATTATGTCCGTGTCTGAAGTAATCTTTGGAAACAGGAGAATATACAGTGAATCGCTGCTGAAGTGTGCACGAACTGCTATATCCGCGACAGTACTTTCTGTACAATTTATTTGCTGGTCATCTCTCACTTACAAAAAGGAAAACAAAGATGAGAAATCAAAATTTCAGAATTGGGTCAGTGAGCCACTTTGTTTCTTCCTCATGCTATAATGATATTCTCCTCGGAAATTAAGATATTTCCGTTTTTTTGAGACCATCACGAACATATGTGTAAGTCGCACTGTACCTTGAACGCGGATCTCAAGGGGAAATTGTATTTTTTTTACGTGTACGTTCCAGTGCACTTTCGCGGAATATGAAAATATTTCCAATGAAGATCATAAAAGACTACTGCAGTATACAAGAAACTAATCTTTATAAATTTCCTCTTGCTCCGTTCATTTACAAATGTTTCTGTCCACAGAAAAGATGCATTACGTGTTCATCAGACAGTCAAACGTAAATCAATGAGAAAACTACTTAAATTCTGCGACTATCCAAGCAAGAAATAAATTTCGCATGCAAGAAAAGAGAATTTGCTTCATTTTTGCCGCAGGTACAAAAAGCGGAGTTTCCAGGTCGTCAAATATTTTTGTGAAAATACGTTGATGGTTCTTTCAACAATTTTCCAATGATCTGATGAACTCACGGTTTTGAATTGTCGTTTGTTTTTTTGCCCTGATGTGTTTAAGCATATGAAAATTTCAAATTAATTACTTAAAATGCACTCTTTTCGGGTCCAATATTTGGAGCACATTTCCCTTTCACACTTGGTAACTTGCTGGAAGAAGTTCTTTCTTGCTTTGGTGAACCATAAATTTTATTCTTTCCAGAAACGAAGTTCCGTTCACACCGCTTTCCTTGCCGAGAAAGAAATATTTCAAGAACAACAGACGTCATTATCGAGGGAGTTTTATGAAGTCGTTTGTGGATGAGAAACTCGATTTTTTAGTCGGACAGTCCACTGCCGATAATCGTAAAGATACAGTTATAAATTCAAGGATAATGTGTATTCAATTTTTAAACATGTTTTACTGCTCGAATTGTTCATCTTCGTTCGAATGTTTTTTGCCGTAAATCAGCCGTTGATCGGCAGGCTTTCAAGGTCGTCGAAAAGCGATATTTGAAATTCACGCTGCTGCTGTTTCTCACTCTTGAAGCAGTTTTTGAGCTCAACGACCTCGACGACCTTGTTTTAATCAACGAATGGCGTTTTGGATGAGATTTGAATCATTCGAAAGCACGTTTGCGTTTGATCTCGAGAACATATTGGACGAATTCTCTGCTTCTTCTTTCCAGTTACATGACCTGAATTTCATTTATTTGCCTCGGTGAAGAGGATGAGCCTGCTGCAAATTGCTTTCCTTAATCCGATTTATCCTCGCCTTTCAATCTACCTGGATGCAGAATCAAAACCCCCCTTTGTACGACTCGAAGTCCTATGAATATCCTACACCAATAGGCAGACACTTTTCAAAAACGCATTCGGTCGATCAGAAAACATTTTTCATGAGAATAAAAATGAGCTTGATTCAGCAAAAGGAGGCGTGACCAGTGATTTTCAAATTTAAATGACCTTTCGTGTGCCATCTTCTGAGGGAATTGAGGAAATCAGTTTTCTTCGATGTTTGATGCATTTGTTCGTGGTTGGAAACTGATTTGCCGAACTTGATAATTCACGTGACACACTTGATATGATTTGCGTGAGTCACGAAAGTCGATTATTATCTTGGATTGACATTTTACGATGTTTTTTATTTTATTAGGAGACCATCAGGAATGGCACCGACGACGACGATAGAGACAGTGACGATCGTTCGACCGCTCAAGGTGAGTCTGTCTTCATATTCTAAGTTCTTAAAAATTAATTCGCGTAATATTCTGGAAAAGTATCCTCGCAAGTGTTCCAAACAGGATCAGTTAGAAGAATGATAAAGAAGCAGGTGTCTTCAAAAATTTTTCAGAGACCGAGACCATGTTTCACCTGTTTTAATTCATGTATACAGCGAGGAACACAAGCGAGAATCTCGGTTGGCCAAGACAGGACAGAATAATCGAAATATCTCCTATAGAAACAAGTGGAAGTGAGAAACTTATTTATGAATACAGATCTGTAATGACACTCCCAGATCTGCAACAGTAAAATACAGTTGCAATAAAAGTGTATGGGGACCACAGAAAAAGTTGGCTGTACACTTATACTGTACCAAGAAACTTCTTATTATGGGATCATCAAAATCAATGGGTGCAAACGTGCTGGTATCGAAGGTGACTGGTAATCGTTGAGGTTCATCTCTTCTACAATTTTCAGAGTTTTTGGAAAACTCGGGGATGTCACGAACAAAATGTTTGTCCCCTGAAGTCAACCATTCATTTTATACTTAGTTCAGCAGATCACAGTACATAATCTATCACATTGTCTTTGTGTCATAGAAATGTTTTGCGTTTGAACCTAATACAGTAAAATCTCGTTACAACAAATTTGTGGGGACTTCAGAACGCTTCTTACAAAAAAATTTAGTTCAACTAGATTTTTCAAATTTTTTGATGGAGTGGAAGATTTTCTTAAAATTAGACTTGCAGGATATATTCATCTTCTTGGCTCTTTCAGATGTTTTTCAGTGTTCGAAAAATGGTTGCGATCTTGAAAACGAAATTTAAATGTTATTAAGAAACATCTACTCTTAATAAAAGGTTAACACTAGTACTTTTTGTAGACTTCAAGTTTTCTAAGCAATGCTTGCACAGATTTGTACAAGGGTGGATAGATACAGTATTCCAAAAAAAGCTAACAATTTTACGTGCAATTGGTTTCTCAAGCATACGAGCCCCTTTAATTTAACATGAGTTTTGCCAGGTTAATTTTTTGTCTACCCCCTCCATCCTGCCATCTTGCCTAACCCAGGATCAATTTTTGAAAGATAGCATTTTCAGGTGAAATTAGAAGCATTTTGGTCATTGCTTCTACCAAATGTCCTAAGAACCATCAGTCAAAGTCAAATTTTGAATGGGAAATTTGAGGCTGTGCCTGCGTTCATAGGGGATTTATCATGAGGAAGCCAGAACATGATCCTCTAAAATGCTTTTATACTGGAATTGTTGACTTAGTTGTGATTAGATTTTTATAACATGCACCCTATACTCCTATAGGCTTTCTGCCAGGACTTCGAAAAAAGTTTTTTTACTGAAAAATGTGTTATAACAGTATTTATTTCAACGAGGTTTTACTATAGCCAAAATGCCATCTTCTAATGGAGAGTGAATTGTTGGATGTTCTATTCTTCACGCTTTTTCTTATACATCTTGTGGGCTGTCTAAAGAATGTGTCAAATAAAATTGAATGGAATGATTAAGATTTTTTCCTTGGGTTAACCATAAAGTCTTGTTCCAATAGTCGAAGTCACAAATACCGAAAAAATTTCCCACTTTTTTCTCATAGCTTAAAATCTTCTATTTGGAGAATTCTGACATATTCCTCAAGATTTTTATTACTGAAATGGGCAAGTTTGTTGCGATGAGATGGTTTTATTTTGTAATCCTTAGCATTACTTCCAGAGTTCCAGGGCTGTAGAGAAGGTTTTTTTTACTGGAAATTGCGTTGTAAGGAGATTTCTTTGTACAGGTGCACTATATTTACAATGGAAATCACAGTTCCAAAAAAAATCGTTTCTGAGATACTTTCTGGAGAACCCGTGTAAGATGAACGGAAAACCAATTTGAAGAAAAAGTTATTTTACTGAGAAATTCGTCGCAGAAAAAGTCCATCTTCCGTATTTTACAATTGTAAAAGTTTGCTGTATTTTCTATTTCTTATGAAATTTTTTGCCTCTTCAATGCATTCGAAATGCTGCCGCAAAAAATAAAAAAATCTTGATTATTGCATGTTCATTGTTCAATACGTGAAGTGCGTGAATATGACCTTCAACTATAGAAGTATCAGTTCGCCTGATTTTCAAAAAAGAAAGAAAAAAATAATCTTCGGCGGGCAGTTCGAGTATGCCCTTGAACGGAAAAATTTGAATCCGAAGTACAGTACACTATTCCAGAACAATTCGGCGAGATTGCTTCTCAGTCCTCGAGCAGCATTTCAACCGCGTGAGTCTCACAAATCTTGCCGAATTGTTGAGTTTCTGAGTGTTGACTGCTGAACAAGCCCTTGAATACGCATGAGGGGATAAATCCAGAAAGGAATCAGCATTCAAACGTGATGCAGTTTCAGTTGATTTTTCAGCTTCCGGGGTTACAAGTAAACATCACTCGTACTCTTGAATGCGAAGAAACAGCAGATGTCAATTCGCGTCTTTATCCTAGGATTTATAAAATTTAGAGTTACAAGATCGTGGTCATCAAAGGGATTCTGCAACGTCTTTAGGTGTCAGCTTACCCTCATTTCATTGTTTGGAGCTAAGGGGTACACATCATGGAACTTCTCGCTTGCCCTGATTTTTTTTGGAAAAGTTTTTCATACAAATTTCACTGAGTCGAAAGCCTTTTTTAAAGGGTGAGTTTAGACTAAGAAGACTAGGGTAGCTTTAGTGAGTTTAGACTAAGAAAACATCTGTCAAAGGAATCCATCTTTCGCTAATCAAAATGGTTGCTGCGTGGTGACTATTGATTGCTTGAATGAAATCCTCTCAGAAACGTTCATTAAAAATGGAAAAAATTCAGCAAGAATATTCAGAAAATCTCAACGGCGTGAGGTTGATCAAAGTTAGTAATTTTTGAGAAAGCATACGATTTTTTATTCCCCTCAATGTACTGTACTTGATCCATTATATTTTGCTTAAAAAAACCATGAAGGCTTACGGTATTTGTGACAGAAGAATAAAATCAAAATTCAACCTCTAAATTGTTCTGCTTGAAATCGGAAATATGTTCGGTATTCAGAAGCGGATTCACGTTACTGTAACGCAAAGAATGTAGAGTGTTATTGTGTATTGTTTACATGGCAAGTGAATCAAGCATTGCGATCGTGCATTGTCCCAAATAAGTAAGCTTTGATTTTGTGATAAGCTTCGGCTTTTGAAATTTGAAGTTCAGAACTCCATGAAATGTTGCAGTGGTATGCGAGATGATTATTTTTTCGCGTCCAGGTTTCTTCGTGAACCATTTTCTTGGTTCATATAGTAAAATCTCGATTGGAATCCGTGAAATAATTTCGTCGTAATGAAGAAAACCCTGCTCAATGTGGCTATTGCAGATCAGGAACATAAAATTGACTTCGTTCTAATCGATTATTAGCTACGATGAGATTCATTGTTAACGAGATGCTGCTGGAGAAGCTTGTTTTTAATTATACAAGTGTTTTGAGGTCTTCTTTGGTCTTATTTTAATCGACAGTTGAGCACACCTACCAGTTGGAAAAGGAAATGCATTACCTGAATTGCTCGACTCGAGATTTTCGATGAAATTGTCCAGAACCTTAACTTGGTCGACGGAGGAAATTCTCATTTCCTGCAATTTTTTTTTCGTGACGCTTGCCATGAAATGGCATCAGAATACAATCTGTATAAAACGAAACACATATAGCCAGTTTCTTCTTTGAGACCTGACCTTATCTGAAACACTACTTTGGAAGCAAAATACAGTATCGTGAATGATATCGAGATGACCGTGTGTCCGTGTTGAAAAAAAAGGGGGAGACGTATTCTACCATAAATGACCCACTTTATTTTAGTTAATCTGGAAATTCATAATTCTACGCTCTCTGTGAAAGCAGAAGGTTCCAGTATTGTCTTTATATTGGGCCACACTTGTTCTCCTGAATTTCAAATTATTTGCCCAGAATCAGGGCGTGGTTTCAAAGCGCATTCGGCGTATGGGTGTGGGGAAACGCAGGAAATACAGTTATAATCAATTCCTTTACTCACAATAGAGATTCCATTTCCGAAGAAAAATCGTGCCGGAACATAAATTATTTTTACCAGTAACATCCCATCAGTGCTGAAATATGAAGAGGAATACCTCCTGTTGTTATAAGATACAGTATACAGAATGGTCTAAATGAAAGCAAGAATCATTCATGAAACGCAAGCAGTAATGGCCTCTCCGGTTGTCTGTTAGGCTGTTGATTGCACCACAACTGACCAAAATCAGTATCAGTATGACCACAAACACAGCCATTGCAATCGACATTGGGCAATATACTTTGAAGCAGTGCAATAGTGATTGCAAGTTGACAATTATTTTTTTAAAGTTGTAATTATACTGTACTTGAAATTGGTGTGAAACTCACATAATCACAATCGCAGCCAGTGTCAAAGAATTGGAGCACTGTATACATTTTATTGAACAAAGTGGTTCAGATCGTGATGGAAAACATATGGAAAGTAAGCATCAATTAATATTTAGTGACCGTGGAAAAGACTATGTGTACAATATGCCATATTGCTTCACCTTCCGACTGGTTGGCGCAGAAGGAAGCTTTTTACGCAGTAATACATTTTCAAGCTCAAATTGCGATTGGATAAAATAATTTTGTACTTTCATTCATGAAATATTGTAATCCCAAGAGGCCATTTCCTTGACTGTATTTATCTTTGCATTTTCATCAAATCAGGCATATTTTTTTGGTGAAAATACAAAGCAATTGAGAAACGATTTCTTTGGTATGAAGCAAACTTTTTATTTTCATTAGACCTTTTTGGTACGCATATTTAACCCATCACGAGGAGTCCTCTTTCACAGGTAATTTGTGATGAATGATTCGCAGTACTGTATTACGTAATATGAATTTAAAAGGCCCATCATTCCAAAACTGATCGAAAGTTTTACAATTGCTGTAGANAAATTGCAAGTTGGCAAGAGTAAGAAAAAATCCGTAGCAATAATGAGTGGCGAATCATAATCTATATAGTAGACTTGCATTAGTAATGATAATTGAGCAACCCTTTTCTGGACTGATTGCGATTATATCATTGGGTGAAACAATTTCTGATTGTGATTAACATCCCTGATTTGTGTTCCGCAAATGCAACAAATCACCAATTCATCAACCTATACGCATCAGATGCCATTACAATTTCCTCCAATAACACCACTCGACATCATGTTCCTTATACTGTATACCTTGGAACCTTTCCATCTGTGTTATTAGAATTCTGAGAATCAAACGATAGGATCGGGTGGTCTTTCTCTGTGCTATGGACACGTACAATACAGTACATCCAGACTCTTCATTATTATGATAGCCCGAACACGGCACTCCCGGGAACCATCCAAGAAAGGGAGGTCGGGCAGGAAAAGGTGAGGACAGGTTTGTATCGATCCTATCATATCCCGCGGATGATCCGACGAGCCAGTCGTTTTTCTCGTCGCTCGCCCATCAGTTGGTCGTGTCGTGTCGACGAACCCGAACGATTGTCTGTCACTCTGTCGAGTCGTCCTCCTGCTCCTGGGTTAGAGAGAGAGTCCCCTTTGAGTCAGGGTTTCGATCCCGTGACGAGAAGTGTGTAGTACTGCATGGGACTACACGGGTTTAGAAACTGCGGCATGCGGTATTCTATACTACTGCTGTACGTCCCTATTATACACCGAGAACGCGTGTCACTGCATACTAGTAGTGCATTGTACAGTATGTACAGTATGAGGCGCCTAAAAAAGCGGGATGTGAACCTCGCCTGCGCAGCTGTGTGTCTCATTTCTCGCGCGTGATTCCGCGAGTGATGTTCGTTGAGTGATGCTATCGCACGCGATGGTGTTTTTGATCAGTAGCAATTTTTTTTTAGTTCAAGGATATCTTTAGTTACGTGAGTGACCTGTATGCTGAGTGAAACGATGCTGTCGTCGTGCTTGACGGTGGTTTTTGATTCATACGATTTTACTTTCTGGATTGATGCGACGCATAATACAAATAGCAACCAAATTTTTAGGAAGGGATTCGAAATTTAGAAACGAAAGGACGTGTGTGCGAGTGACACCTACGACAATTCAACTGAAAATGTCTGCGATTCTGCAAGACGTATAAGAATTTCATAACGGGGGTTTTTTTTGTTTTAGGTGAAATTTTCATGAATAATATTCAGTGCACGGGTTTTATAATCCTTTTAAAGTAGCACTTGCTCTCAACTTGTGAAAAGAAAACTGAAAAATGAAATTATGACTTGTGTCTCTGTGAAGAAGAGCCACTGCGCTTGGTGAAACGTTGCCAATTTCTCAGTACTGTAATCACATTTGCAATTGAATTTTTCGGATTTCTCCCTTCGGTTTAGAATTCATTGATACGATCTTGTGTAACCGAAAAATGTCCAAATTGTTCATCGTGTGAACAGTCGCATATTTTTGAAATATTTCAGTAATTTGAAGTTTGCGGGCGCGCGAATAAAAAAATATATCCAATTACTACTGAAACGTAGCGTGATTTTCTTCGGTGTGGAAAAATACGAAGAACAAGAAATGTATCTTATATCATGTGAATATAATACTCACTAGGTTCTCTTTCGATAGTTCTCTCACACCCCATGAATTTTAAATCCCGTCGCAGTTTATTGGACTAACCGAATTCGCAGAGAACTTCCCAGCGAAGACGATGCGTATACAACGAGGAAAAAAGAGAGACATCTCATCGAGTGTAAAATTTTCCGGTGTTTTCTGTCCTTGGTCTGAGAAAAACAAATGTGGGCAGGTCTCGGGGAAAAATTTGAATAAAAAACAAAGTGAGCGGAAATTACGCGACGTTTTCTGGAGTAACTCCAGCTTTTCCTTGGGTCAGGGCATGGGGACAGCCAGCGAGCGAGAGGGGATTCTTCTGCCAATTCTCGTGTTACGCGCACTTTTTTTCTGCCAAAGATTTCTTTCTTGGACTTTCGAGTATCTCGACAATAAGTGCATACATTCGCGACAGAGCTCGTTCTTTTTTTATTTGGTCTTCAAAGAAAGAGTCAGAATTCACGTCATTTGAGATAGACAGTGTCTCAGTCAGGAATATTCGCGGGAAAAAAATGGGGAGGCAGCAATGCTTTCGCAAACTTTGAAGGAAGGCTATAGCACGAATTTGCCTGTAGAAACCATTTATCACGCGTACACTTATTAGTAACGATTCCAGGTCTTAACAATTCGGATAACTTACTGGAACATGAGTTGTAATCTTCATATTTTTTCATTTCAAGTGAGAGTACGCATGACTATTGACTTCGGCGTTTTGAATGTTGCACACTTCTTAAAATTATCCATTAATGTTCTCTCAAATCTAATTCGAATTTTCTTGTGTGCAGTGATATGAGCGATGATGTGTTTTGATTACTCAGTTAGCGTTTTCAATCATTCGTAAATCGTAATTGAGTTCATGTCGTCTAGGTTAGTATATTATGCATCGAAATTTTGTTTCTCTTAATTAACAATTGAAGCGGCATAGGATTGAGCTGGAAAACAATTCCTGTTCAGAAAATACGTTCCTTCGTGCAATAAAAAAAATTGAGCTTTGTTCGACGTATTTTTCAGAAAAATTTTGCGAAAGTCACCCTGGCAGCTTTCTGCTCTTCATTCGAAAGATGAGGCGCCCATCTCACAGATTTTTTGGTGTACCCCAGCTTTCCCTTCAGAATTTTTGAAATTCGCACGGGATTCATTCCAAGGGTTTCCGTCATCAATTGATTATTTATTCTGCAATTCTCTTGAGAGGATAATGTGGCGGCTTTAAAATAAAATGACGTAATTCTCTTGGCAGACATGTCGGGCCCCCTGAAATAATTTCCTTTTGCATGTTAAGAAATCACAAAGAGAAGCTGGGCTATATAAAAAAAAAATCTGATGGATTTTCGCCTCATCTTTTGATCAAAATGCTAAAGCTGCCTGGGTGAATTTTTCACAAAAATTATAAAATGTTTTTCAAAGGACTGATTTTTGTTTTCTTGTGGCAAAGAAATTTTCTCTGATTCATCGTTTTCAGCCTAATCATATACCATTTTAGTTTCTATTCTGAGGACTTCCGTTAGAGTATGAGGATTGTAGAGCTCGAAGTTTTGGCTTTTCATGGGGTGTATATGGTCAATAAATCCGCCATATGACGTAAGGAAAAGGTTTTTCGGTCATTTCTCTGTCTTAAATATCATGGTATGCCTCGCGTTTGTGTTTCCAAATTTAACACGAAACTTGAAAAAAAAATTCGTCGGAAAATTGGGGTTGATATATAATACCTAAACATCAGTATTCATATTGCGTATATATTCCCTTTCACAATAACCCATGCCGTGGTATGCAATTGATTTTTTTTTTCATCCGGAAGATTATAACTATCGTAAAATAATGAAAAACCTGATGAAAATAATTTTCGGTGCAAGCTGATGCATGCTCAATTTGTTACAATTTTTATTTGGCAGTTGAAAGTTTACAGCTTTAGACTCAGGGTGGAGCTCGCTGCATTTTTTTCGAGACGCTGAGCCTGAAGTATTTCCAAGTGAGCCATTGCGCAGTCAGGGACTAAAATCTGCTTGACGGGATCAAACAAAGCCAGGAATCGTGGCGTTTCCTTGAAAAGTACGAGCTTTGGCCCACGTCATGTTCCTGTCGGCGTCCGCCCGTCAACGCGTCTCGCATTGTCTTTTTCAACATTTTTTTTTTGTGTGTGTGGTAAGATTGAAAAGCGATTCGGTTTTCCTCAAGGTATTCTTTTCTCCAAGTGAGTCAGTGAGATTCGTGGTTTCCTTTACAGTATTTTCGAGTCGGGAATGCGAGTCAGGTGTTCATTGATTTTTGCGACTTTCCAAGGGTGGCATTATACTGCGCCCGCGAACGATTTGACAACTATGGAAAAGTTCGGTTTTTTTCGATTAGTACTGTATAATAGCTTATGTACAGTATACTGAGTTTAACGCTTGCAATTGGTAGGGAACGAACATCCACGAAGTGATGCTGGCAAATTTTCGAGTATCGTATCATCGTCAAGTACGAAAGTTCTTTTTTTTTCGTCCTTGTCCACGGAACGCGAGGAAAAAATTTCGGGATTTAAGAAAATACAGCAGTCTCTCAATTTCCAGGTATCTCAAGTTGAGAATATTGAATTTAGAGAAAATAAGTTTGAATTTTCGTATTCATTTCCAATTCCGTTTAGAAAATAAAAATTGAACTGAACGCATATTTCTCGTTATTCCGGCACCATCTGATTGGATTCAATGTTCCAAAGATGCCGAAATTAAAAGCAGGAAGCAGCAAATTTCAGTCAAGCAAACCAGAATATTTTAAATTACAGTACGTCCTTCTGTCACACTTCTTTCACCTCTGAAGTGTAAATCATCTTAATGAGTAAATGTTTTCGGCGAAACAAACGCGAAGGTGCAAAATGTAAATAATTGGTTCGATCTAATCACAAGAACGATTTTCACAGGACGTCAATGAGTTCGTCAAGATCAAGTCATCAGTTCCTTATGAATTTAATATTGAAGGGAAAAACGTCTTGAAAACATGATATAGTGATGATTTTGATCAAAAACTTCGATTTTTCCAAGTCGAAGCAAGATAAATCTTGTTTCGGAACAGAAGTCACCCTGCAATTCCAAGAAAATCCGTGTAAACTTGTCCTTCAGACAATCCCGATTATTTTTTTAAATTTCCCTCAAGCAAATATTTCCATCAACCCCAAGGTCTGTATGACGGATCGTTAAAATCTACTTCATATTCCGACAAATTATAGTTCATGGAATAACTTTATCCATGACGGCGAATTATGTGTACATTTTTCTGAATTTTTATTAAAACACATGTCATTTGGATACCGCCGTCCATAAGGAGTGGTTCCCATATGCTTTCTTTTAGCTTTCCTCTGTTTCTGCACGTTATATTTTCTGAATTAGAGAAATTCCATTTCAGTTTTAAATCGACTTTCATCAGCGAGAAATTTTTACAATACAGTATCTCCCACCTCTTTTTCAAAAAACAACTCATCATTCTCTTTAATGTCAGAAATGACTTGGGATATGAATGGCTTAACTCAGACAGGCTTTTATATTGCTGTAAAAGGCTGACCGCCGTTATTCGAAGGCTCAGCATGTCTCTTAACGCAATAACTTGGATGTGTGTAATACTTCACGTCAACCTTTTTTATATGTGTAACCGACAAAAGAAATGCATGCGCGGAAACACGGGTTGACATTTTTTGTCCTTTTGGCACTCTGTGTTATTAAAAATACTGTAGCTTTTTTTTCTTTTGTGCAGCCTACTTCACAGATTTATGTATATTTTTTAATTTGAATGTTGGTGGATAAAGGTAATTTGCTCTAATCACTCAAGAATCGGTAGATTCTGCTTCTGTTTAGAAGCAAAAAATTGGTTTTTTCTCCTTTTTCCTCATCCAAAATATATTGGGTTGTTGAAGGCCCATTATATTCTTTGGAGCAGTAAACCGGTTCTGTCAGTGCATTGAACTCCTTCTGATATCCAAGCACCCAATGCTTTGTAGTCTATCCTTTGTTTCGAAAAGCTATTGTCGGAATCGGACCGGGCATTGAACAATGTTGTCAGATAACTCTTCGAGCAAATCTTGCTGCAGGAAGTACAGTACTTGAATTTCTGCTGAAAAATTCTTCACGGAGCTGCAGTTGACAGCGAGGAATATGCGGATATTCTTGCGCGGTTGATGAACAGGAAAGTGCCGACTCGATATTTGAGGTCCACATTCCTACGAAGGAAATTTCCTTTTGCCAAAAGCTGAGTCGATATCGTAATTCGAGGAAACATTTCGGGCTCCGATTTCTTCTCGTCCCCTCTCGACATTCTTCGTTTGCTTTGCTTCGCGGATCCCAGGGAAGTGAGCTTATTGAGTTCGAAGTTGATAAGCGACTCAATCCGTGTGAAAATTTCCCTTCGCATTTGAAATCAACGTGTAAGAGGAAAAGAACAGAAATTACTTTCGTCTCTCCCAAACCCCGGTGGAGTTGAAAAGACTCTCTTTTGCTCATGCCCGCGGTCGAAGCTCGATATCCCCTTTTCGTCGGTTTGACACCACACGTGAAAAATATTCGGGAAGCTTTGCGGGGGTGCTTTTGGTTCTAAAGTTTCAATGAACCACTTTATTTCATGAATGGCTTCTATATTTGATATGAGCTGCAGACGAGATGTTAGCCAGATGAGGAGGGATGAAATATAGATTTATTCTGTCACTTCTGTTGTCGGGCAGAATGTGCCATTTTTCATGTTTCGAGTTTCACACGAATTGAGTGGAAACATTTTTTTTCTTTTATAAATATTCAACCTTCGTTGAAACTCCTGTCGGGTTCGCATCGCAGCCGCAAGAAAAGCTTGAGTAAAATCGAAATTGAAATCAGAAACTCATCGTTTTCTAATTCGATATTACTTCGAAAATAAGTCTCTTAGAATAATCTCGCGTGAATAATTTTCACACGGGAGCATGCTAATCGATTCAAGCTTTAATTTCTCAGCACTTCTCATCCAAGTTTGAATCGTCCCAGGTTTTGCATCACTTAATATAAATTAACCTATAATATGACCAGATTTCGAGAAGGGAATGTTGGTTGCTATTGAAGCCAATTTCAAAAAATTTGCAATTTTCGTATGTCAGATGTCTTGATTAACAAGTCCTGGCACAAATTCCTCACAACACGCATGAATGATCAATCATCATACTGCTCATTATCGTCAATACATCATGGATTCCATGAAATTTCCGCCGTCAGCAAAAAAGACAGAATTTATCACCAATTCAGGTTTGGCATGTACAGTATTTGAAGGCGGATCAAAAGTCTATAGGTTATTGAAACATGTCCAACTTTTGAAAAGAGACGCAAAATCTGTGGCAGTTATTTGTTTGAAATCACCAATCGGAAGCAAATTGTAAAACAATTTCAGTGGTACATTTTGAGTTAATCAGGAAGCAAGTGGTACAACTCATTCGTCATAAGAATTCCCACTGTGATTGCATGCAGTGACATCTGCACGCGCTTCGATCAATTTTTGCCTCAGTATTACTACTGTATGTACTGTACTATGCTTCGAGTGTCAAAATACTGTTCCACTCCTGCAAAACGAAAATGTGTGAAGACGTACTGACTGACGCGAATATTTGGACAGCCTACATTTAATTTTTTTCACGTTCGTCTGCGCGATTCCAATTTCTAAACACGGGATAAAAAAAAAATTGGCCTCATCGGTGTAGGATTCTGGGGAATGTGTGTTCGCCGGAAGATTGTTTTAGAAGGAACAAAAAAAAGAGAGTGGAGACAAAGACTGCAATGCGGATGCGGTGACATGAGTGACGTTCGCAGTGACTGACTGTTTCGCCGAGTGCCGCCGTGTCGAGGAAATGTCGACGGCCAACATCGCCGAGTTCCCGCGAGTGTCGCATGTGCGCAGCGACGACAGAGGCTTGAAGCTCTGTCTCCAGCGGCTGTTTCCGGGGTCCTGGTGGACCATTTACCGCAGGATCGATGCCTGCATTTGGTATGGCCGACTCCAGGCTGCCAAGGTACATAACCTGCATCAGCATTATCAGCTTCACCAGCTGCTGCTGCTGCAGCTGCACCAGCAACAGCGACGTCGTGGTGCATGTATGCATCAGGGCGTTCTCATGTACAAATTAAGAAAAAGTTTTTGTTCGTTTTTTTTTTTTCAATTAGGATATCAATTCTTGACGCAGATGCATCAGTACTGGTGGGTTGAGTCTGCATATTCACACCAAACCTCGTACTAAAGAAAAAACCTAGCCAAGAGATTTTTTTCACTCATGGTTTTTTTATGCCCTCTCAAGCAGTCCCTTGCGGACATTCATTACTTTGACCCCCATAAAAATTTCAGTGCTACTATATCCTCCAACCTAATTAATGATGTTCGAAGGAAAATTAATGATGCAGGTCAAATTTTTTTAATATTCTGAATATGTATAATTTTGTGAAAAGTTGCTGTATACCCGGATTTCCAAAAATTTAGGATGCCATCCATATACAGTGCAGTCAAACCTTTTACACAGTAGAATATTGTCACAACAAACTTATGGGGACTTCAAAAAAATATTGTTGAAATGAATATTAAAAAAAAAGATTTTAACAATTTATGACTAATTGGAAGATTTGAAAAAAAAAACCTGCATACTGTAATTACTCATGTACCGCACGTGTACCTTTCTTCCAGAAATTGCAAGGGAAAGAAAGAATGCAGGGGTTACTGCGGTTATATGTTTAACCAGAAAAATCTCCAAAATCCCAATAGGCATGTGAGCATTTCTAGAAAACAACCAAAAATTAAAGTGGAAATATGTGGCAACAAGTCTCTTTGTCCATGGGAAATAATGGTTGAAACAATAAAAATTCCAGGAATCTGTTGCAAATGCAACAGGATGGAAATGAAGTGGAAGATATTTCTATAATCGAGGAAGCTGTATAGTGTAGACAGTAAAAAGCAAGAAAAACAAAGCATCAATGCGGGAAAATGAATCTTGTCCATTCATAGGATGCTAGAACTAGTAGAAAGGATGCTGAACTTGGAGTCAAGGGTTCATTTGCCCAATTCATATTTCACTCCTTTGAAAGCACAGTGTTGCATTATAATTATTTCCTCTTTCCTTTAATTGATTATGATAGTCTAAAGACCTACAGAAAAGGTAGTTATTCAGGTTTGAAAGGGAAACCGCTTCGAGTTCAGGAGATTTTTAATGCTTTGTTTCTCAGGAAATTCAGAGGATGAATTAAAATAAAGCCAAGTAGCGAGCTATTTCACTTAGGAAGATAACTTTCATTTTTGCCTGAAAATGAATGCAGTTTTTACATGAAAATAAGATAAGCACTTCCTTTTCACATACAATTTTCTTTCTGTAAGCTCATGAGTCCGTTGAATCCATATCGTGTTTAAGTTCAATCCGTTTTCCCCGTGACTCACGTCCTAAATTCGGTATGAAACTCTTGTGACCTTGAGAAAAAAATGTTGGAATCTTCAGTGTGTTAAACTTTTCAAATCCCACCTGATCACGATTCAATCTTGAGTTCGCCGGAAGCACACCTGTCTTCTGTTTGAATGATTACAGGCATTGCGAATCAATGTTTCAGATGTGCTTGAATGTCGGTACATTATTGTCGTAAAAAACGCATAAAAGTGCTGTCAATATTGTCCGAAAAAAGGTATGCTGAGAAATTCTGAGAAAAAGCACGTTGTGAGCACCAACAAAAAAGAGCAGCGAAAAGGGTAATAAAAAGTGTATTACTTTTTTAAGAAAGCATTGATTGATTTGTGGAAACTGTTTATTCCTCGCGCTCGACATCGTCAATCAACCATTCAGCCCTTAACTTGTTGAATTTTTTTTTTGAATTGCCGGTTCCACTATTGTCAAAAACGCGCTAGTGATTTAGGTGGGAACTTGTTCAAGGATTTTCTAATAATGTGCTGATTTGTTTGCAGGTCATCGCTTTCATTTGTGGAGGACTGGCTGTTTTTCTGCTGATCCTTTGCTTGGCGTCTTCAGAGTGGCTTTTGGCGCAGGGTTGGCGACAAGGGCTGTTCGTCCACTGTGTGTCTGAAGATGCCATCCACCCATTGCCATTTGGGATCGCGTCTGACCAAGCCGGCTGTTTCCCGATCAGACCAGCGGGTACGTACCACAATAGTGCATATATATATTTAGTTATGATCAATGTATCGACGCATAATACTGTACTGTACTGTACTGTACTGTACATTCATAATTGATGAAGGTCCATGATAAGGGTTTTAATTTTGTGGGTCGATGGAGGAAATCCTGTGCAATTCAATTCAATGCAATTATTGGCTGTGCGGCATTAACGCGAATACAGTATTAACTTGTTACATCTAACTCTCTAAAGCCGGATAGAAAAATTCGTTGCATCCAGATTCATGGTAGTTTTTAAAACCCTCGTTGGACTGAAATGTTGTTGGAAATCGGTCATTAACAACCATTTTGAAAATATGCAAATGGAAAAGAATGACATACATGCTGGAATGGTGCTAAAAAAAATTCCATGAAATAGCTAGGTTAATTCGTGCATTTTTTTGAACAAAATGTTTATTGGACAGAAAGATTTGCTTCTTTGATGAAGTTGAAAAACTGTACCAGTTTGTTTTTTTCTGTTTTGCCATTTATCAAATAATAATTCCTATAGCCTATATTCATAGAATCAGGGCCAACATTTTTTAGACTGGTATCGTAGCCTAAAATGAGATGATTAAAGTAAGATTTTTATAGTATTGCGCCTCCTGCAAAACTACTGGGACCAAACAAATTTGTTTTAGCAAAAAAAAATGTTTCATACCAAGATTTGTTGTAACGTAATTTTACTGTATAAACGCCCCTTTTTCCGAATTGGAGAAGTTCGAAAACTTTCTGGTGCTTAGTAATTGCATATTTTTTGTATAATAATTGTAGAATATTTGCACGGGTGTCTCGGTTTACTAACGACCTGGCTAAAAAATCTTTCTAGTTTGCAAATTTTGAGTTGGGGCCTGGGGTGCTCCAGCTAACAAACCCTGACCCAGCTTCCAAACTTCAGTAGGTATGAATATGCACCCCCAAAAATATCTGTCCCCTATCCCCTGTCCCTGGGATCAGCAGTCAATATTTCCCACTGGATGCTTCTTCTTTTACTGCATTTTTAGAGGTTGAAATCACCAAGTAACCTTATGCTTACATCATTTTAATTTTATTTGAATACTCTAACTGTGTTTTATTTTTGCTGAGTAATTTCTTGACAATTCCCTCAAACTGCTTTTGTTTCCCTACTCATTTAAAATATGTTTCTGATTGATTTTACAAGTAAATATGGCACTGCACAGTTTGTCTTACTTATTTCACAGACACAGGTCTAAATTGTTGTATGCAGCACCTGAATTACTGTTTCTTTTATATATATTTTTTTAGAAAAATTCCTTGAATTTCAGGCCTAGTACGAATTTTTAGAGTAAATATTCTTGGTTTTTTTGGGCACTGACAAGGTTCTGGAACAAATTCAAATTATTTCTGTACTTGCTTAAGGGATAGCATGATTTTTCCATCAAAGTATTCAACTAACAAACTTTGCTCAGGAGTCAGTTAAATTCGTAAGTGGAGACCCCACTGTACAAGGAAATCTTCCCCGTTTGTGGCCCAAAATTACAGTATTTCCTCAGTTCTTTGGGAAGATGCACGAGTCATTGATTGAAGAGGAAGAACAAGGGTTTTTATGACGGGAGTTTTTACTTTTCTGAGGAAAATCTAAATTCCTTAAGACATTGCATGTTTCTGGACAGTTACAACACCAGGAACGTGAGCAGTGTGCTTACGTATAATTGCCTATAACGTCATTCTGTACATGAAAACTCAGGGGTGCTTATATTTACGTAAATGCGCCAACAAAAAAGATTTTGAACACGTGCTTTCATTGTTACAATACTTAACGTATTCATATTCTTAGGCGTGAACCGACTATGAAAAAAGTAGAGACTTTCGTTTGATATCCAATTCATAAGTGTTTTTATCAAGATTTCTGTCAACGAGATTAAAATTTTCGTTAGTAAAGTGTTATGAGTGAAATGTCACAACCTTGAACTTTTTTCGGGAACATAATAATGGAATCAGGTCGGGCTTTTCTTTTATCATATTTGTTTACTGTATTTACAGTCTGACGTAATTCATGCCCAGTATAATCAATACGATGTTTTCCAATGTACTGGAATGACTGAATTCAAAATGTTTCCGAAATTGACAGTTTGGGATATCCAAATGTAATTCAGTATATTCATTTCTGAAAATCGGCCAGAAATCCTCCGTTTGAGCGTGTTTATGCTTCAGGTGGACTAAATTCTGACCTAGAAACCCGATAGGAAATCGTCATCAAAGCAACAGCGAAAGAGACGCGAATAAAAATTAAATTTTCGTCAACGGTCTGGAAAAATGTTCAATCGCTTTTATTTTTCTTCGAAAAAAAAAACCACGAATTTCCTTGCATCGCGCGGAAAGAACACGGATTTCCACTCGTGAGCCAAGATGCTTTTGTGTCCCATGATTGACATTGTCTTCAAAATACGTTTAATTCTTATTTTCCACAGGCTACATTGTTTGTTCGGCAATTCTGTGCATCGTTGCCGTGATTCTGGACGCGGTGGCGACTCTGCTGACCGGCCTGGGGCTCTGGTCGCAGGACTCCACCAAGAAGTACAAGTTCTACCGCTTTGCACTCTACGTCATGGTTGCCTCTCGTAAGTTTGGCCTTCTTCATTTTGTTTCTCTTTTATCTGGAAATCACATCTTGGTTACTTTTATATGCTTTTGTGTACTACGGTTCTGTGGAATCTCCAGTACAGTACAGTACTTGTAAATGTTGGTCATCAACGGAACACGACAAAAGAGCAGACGATCAAGGCCCAATGAAAAAAGAGATGCAACATTTTAAACTGCAACTTTGGAAAAATGTTTATCCCCACTTGAAATACACACCTCAGTTTTCAATTTCCAAGAATGGTATTTGACATATTCTAATAAAAAATATATATGTTCAAACCCGCTTAAAGAAATGAAACAATGAAGATCAGCCGGGTAAGCCATTGAGATCAGCCAGTTTTGCTGCCAAAAACATTTATTCAAGTGTACACCTCGATTATATGTTCGTAGTTTTTCAAAGCAATTTAGTGATTCACAATTGTAGGATCACAGCAAACACGACACGGATGAACACAAACAAATTTGTGCATGAATTCAAGACTGAAAACAGCTATAAAAATAGGTGAAGATTTAAAAAAACGAAGAGTATTTATCTTCTCACGCGGTGGGTGTTGTGTGAACTCTAATAAAAATGAAATTCCAGAGGGGATGAAAAATCTTGACTGGACTTTCCTCATTTCATTCTCTCCGCAACGGAACACACAACCTACCCTATTTACTCAAATACCAAGTTTTCTTGATTGAAAATATTTATCCCCATTTAAGACGCCCACCTTATTACAGTATACTTCTCAATTCTCAAAATTTGTGCTTCAAATGATTAAGAAAGAATATAAATTCAAGCCCGCTTGGAAATTGAATGGATTTGTAATGATTTGTCACATGCCAATCATAAACTCGCTAAAAGTATTACTTTGGAAACACTTTTGAAAAAGGTGGGGAGGGGGGTTGATGTTTAATGACAGTGATCATGTTGGGACTGATAAGGGAAATTATAACGCTTTTTTTTTATCAAGATCAGAGTTCGTAATAAGCATCGTAAACAGTCGGAAAAATCAATACAGCCGTAACCGCACATGATACGTGTTCCGCTTGGGATTATTCGTGGGAAAACATTAGGTCAATTTCCTTGTCAAACAAATGCCACTCCAGCATTGTAATTTGAAAGATTTCCCAGGACTATACTCTTCTTTCAAACTCAAGGTTAGTGGAGTCAGAAATCCGAATGCAATATGTACTGAATTCCTGCATTCGGACTATTTTATTGTACGTGGATTTCAACTGTATTTCAAATCACTTGACCTTGCGCTCAATGCCGGCACACCCAAGATAATTGGTGATCATTATCTGCAACCAATTTAAAAGGAAATAATCAGATATTCAAGTGGGTACCTTATTAATTGCCACACTTCTCAAGAATATAAGACGAGAAAGAAATAACCATTTACTACGCGAAAGATTTCTAGATTGTATAGTCATGATAATTGCTTTTGGGTTTTCACCAACCGCCTTTTTTATTTAAAACTATCGTCAAATGTAATAAGCATAATTAAAATTATTTGCCGTTCTTCCATATTATGTCGAAGGAAATTAACTTAAAATCGTGGTTTCCTTTGAGATATTATTAAGAGTAAGAATTAATTCCTTTTTTTGCTTCAGCGAAATGTTCAACGAGTAGAACATGACAGTGATCATTTTGGGATTTTTTTTCCCTTGTCGTATTTCTTTTTTGAAGCAGTATTTTCATGCTACGGGTATACCTAATTTCTGTAGCGTCAGTGGGAAAATTTGAATAATAAAAGAAAAGTTCACCATTCGATTGCATTCCACCATTTGATTGTTTCTTTTGCAGTTCACTTGAGAGTTCGTATGTTTCGTGACTCGAAAGTTTCGGGGGAAGAATTGAGTTGTTAAATGGCTGGCATTTCAAGGCCAGCAAAAGAGTCTAGTGTGCTTCTTTACGAGCCAGAAAAATGCTGGGCGATGAATATCCACATGCAAAAAATGTCTTCTATAACTGCATGTAGTATATGACAAGATGGTCGAGTACTGAGCTTCTGGCATAGGCTTGTGACCCCCGATGGATGGAAGCGAAAAATTAATGGGAGTATTTCGTCTTGACCCATTTGGCCCGCTTTCGAGTGGTCGGATATTTTTAGAAATGACTTCCCTTGCGGGAATTTGTCAGCTTGGCTTCAGTCAGCTTTTGTGGAAGGATCTCGTTTTTTTTACGGGAAAAGTATGCGTGCATTCAATGAAAGCGGCTCAGTGAAATCTTGGAGGGCTACATAGTTCTGTACAACATATTGTAATTCGATCTCCGATGCATATGTAGTACCTTAGAAGCGCCATTAGCGCGAGTTTTTCCAAACTATAGAAGGATGCTCCAAGATGTCGCTCTTTTCCAAGAATATAAGTACCGGTATGTACTTCTGCTGCTGGGAAGTTCATCTAATCCTAATGCCTCTCATTGACCAGCACCAGGTTTAAACATTTTACGATTTACTTTTTTTAAAGTGCTGACGACTTACGAGTATCCTTGGTTCACGTTAAACTGAAGAAAATTCAGATAAAGCAGCCTTCGAAAGATGTAAGTGACCAACAGTGGAATTACACTTCGGAATCTATGTTTTGTATTAGTGCTTCAGTTCTGAAATGTTACTAATGTAAATAGAGCGCTGATGAATTCCCGAAAATATCTAGAAAAAAAAAAGAATTCATCTTGAAGTAGATGCGATCAGTTCGATAATTTATGGTGCGTATAAACTTTACTCAAAGACAGGTCAAGATAGAGTAAATTCATTTCGAATTTGAACTTACTGGATCCGCTGAAAAAAATGTACTGTTCTCCCCTGCTCCTCCGGCATATATTTTTTTTCATCGGATTTCGACAAGGTTTTGTGGAATGCATTTTGTTTTCAGAAAATTCTGTCCATTCCAGTGTCATCAACCGGTGTAATGAATATTTCTGCACGAAAAAATTGTGTCAATTGAAATCTTCACGCAGACACCTTTAAACCCGGGTCGAAGTAATCGAAATGCATGAACTTCCGAAGTACCGAACCGCCGAAGTATTGTGAGGGAAGAGCGACACCTATGATCATCATGTTAGAACAGGAAAACGCGCTAGCGGAGTTTCGAGTCAGTTGTTCATTACTGTACTGTACATTGTAGAAGTACACCAGAATCAAAAATATTTATTGAATGGAAATACTTGCTGTAGCCACTGTGGACAATAATACAGTACATAATTGAAAAGTTCCTGCACAGAAGCTGGCTTAGGAGATAAGCAGACGTATTTCTCCCAAAAGAAGTCGTTTACTAAAATAGACATATACAGTATTTCAATGACCGATACAGTCACGCGCGTATATTTGAGCAACTTTCGTGCAATTTGCAGGTGTCGCTCCATGAGTAGAATTCATTGAATGGCATTGTTGGTGATAATTCTGGAGCTCGAAAAACTTACTGTAAATTAATGGAGATGATACAGGTCCACAACTGAGAAATAGTCCTCACCAGCATTTACCTTGTCCACAAATAAAAACAAAATAGCTGATGATCAACGGTGAATGATAATAATCTTCTGCCGCGCGCCCAAGAAGTTGTTAGTGTGCTGACATACACCTAAAAATATTTCTGTCAAGGGTTTCTTTTGATGAAATTTTAAATGTTTTTTTTTTTTGCAGTGATAACCGTGCTGATCGCCCTGGTCGTGTATCCGGTGTGCTTCTCTGGTGAGCTGGACCAAGGCAACAGGGAGCTGTGGGAATTCGGCTGGGCATACGGCGTTGCTTGGGGCGCAGCCATCTTCCTTTTCGGAGGCATAGTCCTCTTGCTACTGGACAAAGAGTCGGAAGAGATCTACTACAAGGAACGAACGGTGGTCCATGAATCTGCTGCTGGGTCCGACGCTGCATCCGGAAGCAAGGGATGAATATACGCACGCACACACGTGGAATTCCTTCGAGAGAGAGATGAGAGAGAGAAAGAGAGAGAGAGAGAGCAAAAAAAAAAACAATAGCGACAAAAACATGCGAAGATGGGAAAACTGGAAAATCGCAGAACTATCCTTTATATCCTTCCAAGTTTCGCTTTGAATTTTCATCGTCGAGTGTTCGCCCATGAGTGTGTTATTACGGCGTAGGCAATTTTTTTTTGTGTTGCGAGAAATTTGTTTTCTATCGGATTATTGGTGGTCGTCCAATTTTTCCACTGGCTGTGGATGTGGAACCGACGCCTTCGTGTCATATTCTTTCTTTTTGTGGAAAAATTATCAAATTAAACGAAAAGACGAGTCGCGGGAATTGTTCGGCAGGAACAGATACCTCTGCAGTAATCTTCTTTGGCTTTCGTCCATTCGTTTTTTAAATGAGTGGCTCGATCGCGAGGGCATCCATTGATGCATTCGGGATCTGCTAAAATATTCATCGTTTCACTTTCCACTGAAAGTCCCAAAATTATTATGAATTTTGTTCGCGAAGGCTTCTCACATCAATGTTTGAGACTGACGGAGGGAGAGTGCATTTTTCTGCGTAAACTTTTTTCAGGCTTCTTATTCTGGCGAACTACGCAATTTTTCTTTGAACTCATCAGTTGACGTCATATTGGTCGAAAATATGTTTTCCCGTTTCAGCTTCATGCCCATTCCGGGATATTTGGCGGACACGAGATGTATTTCCGAATCGTCCATGAATAAAAAATTCTGCAATGCTAGGAATGTTACGAATGACGACATTGTGCACGTCTTCCACGACGTCATCATCGACGCCCGTGCCACGAGCAAAATTCATAGAAAAATATTCATGTTTGTCTCCTTTTTCTGACGAATTTCATCTCTTTTCAAACGGCTTTATATGGGGACGAAGTTTATCCGGATCTGCGGAATATCGTGTTGTGATAACTTTGTTGCGTCGGAGTCGCTTTTCTTGAGACCTGTGTGAAATGTTTCGCCATTATTATTTTTTTTTGTGAAGGTTGATGGATTAGATTTGGCGCCATATAGTTAGTGAACTTTTTTTTTTTAGTGTGGAGCCATGATTAGATGAATGTTTAGGGGGTCTAGTCAAAGCTGCCCTTTTTCATTCCTGTAAATTTTTCGTGTGATGATGATGAGATTTCGTTTTTCCCCGTTTGAGCCTCGTGTTGTTGGGAGATTTCGCGTGGATCTCTTTTTTCCTCGAAATTTAATTATTTGAATGCTTTTTTGACCGGGAATGTAGCATAAGCGATGAGTAGGTTACGAAAGATATTCGAAGAATTGGTGCAGATTGTTTCCCGAGGACTTTAACCGATCGTTTTTATTTAATTTTGTATGCGGGTTTGCAAGGAAAATGGTTTTTCCCCGCGACTTTCGCCCTCCCAATAAAGTTGAGAATGAAATGAATCCGACGTTGTGGCGTGTGTTCGGAACTCTTGTTGATGTTTTTTTTTAAAGCTAATTATGCATTGTCCTGAATGAGTGACATTTCCAAAGGACTCTTACCGCGAATGTGACATTTAGTATGAAATCCGCCGGCAACTGCTCGATGCAAATATCCGACACATTGCAAAATCATGAACGAAGTATCTTGCAGATTTTTGCTGTTTTATGCTAGAAATCTTTACATTGGTAATTGCGAATATAGCGATGAATAGTTTTTGCCTAAGCTTTGTAAATGAAACAAAAGTTACTACGAGCGAGGCTTTCAAACATAATTTACAGTATTTCCATATTTCAGCCATTGTTTGTTTTCCAAAATTGAAAGAAGCATTCCCAGCATCACGTTCATGGATTGCGGATGATTGATTGATTATATAGAAGTCTTTCAAACGCCTCAGGTAATCATATTACACGTGATCATCCAAAAAATAACTGATTTTATAAAAAACAAAAAAACTCTACGTTTGTAGTGGGAATGATTATTTCAGATTTTTATACCCAACAAACCAAGGTTCATCAATCTAGTTAGCTTTTACTGTATTTTTTGTTAAACCACTTAGCAGGACTTCTCCATAAATCAAATTCGAAGAGGCAAAAAAATCGACTTAAAAATGTTTGAATCTGGGGAACTAGGGCTGATGATAGGCTAATGATTCTTTGGCTGATGCAAAAACTCGACTCAAACAGGTTCGAGTACCATGATTACGAAGAACGCAAATCTCGCAAAAATTTCGGGAATCTGTGGTAGATTCGTAATGCGTATCATCAGTAATTCAGCAATGAGGAGCGCAAATGCAAGGTCACGCGAAATTCCAAATTTCTATTACTGTACATTTTCAACTCCAAATGTATTACTGCCAGATGCAACCCAGGGAGGCGAGGCTATACCAGGCCTTGATGATTTCCAGCAGGGATATGAACTCCCATAAGATTAATAATTTTCTGTGTTATTGTGGGACCCTGACATATATAGATGATTCGATTTAGGTGCACCTGAAACTAAAAATATGAAAATTCCCGCACCACTGGACAATGCTTTGAGATATGCCGGTTATAATTTTTCAAAAATTATCTATAATAATCTAAAAAATTCTTTTTACAATTCGGATTTTGCTTGCACAGATTAAGCTGATCACATCCAAAAAGATCGGAAAAAAAGTTTCATCATGAAAATTGCTCTAAAAGTCTAAATAGTCTAAAACATCATGAAAATCAGACTAATTGGGTACATCTTGCTTTCAGATTTCCTCTAGTGTATAGCTAGACATTTTTGTTCCTTGCATTTTCAACTCCTGATGATGATGCCAAAAGATCAGATTCCTCGTGGTTTTCCTCTTCGCAAATTTTTTTCTACATCGTGAAGTTGAGAAAATTATTTATTCAATTGTTGGGACTTATCATATATTTTTTGAAGAATAGCTAAGACCCATTTAAATATATTCCCCTTGAAGTCCATGGGAAAGTGTGATTCAACATATGGATCCTCCAAAACACAGGGACAAGGTCCAATAACAAGCACCAGTTAAGTCTCCACATCTGGAGGTAAAGCTCTTTATTTCACGGCAAGCATGAATGCACATGTGATATTTGTAACATAAATACGCCCACGTCAAATGAAGCTCTGGAAGAAAAAGATAATTCGATAGCGTCATGATTACTTATTAATTATAAATAAACGGAAATGGAACGGACGAATATAGAACACCTTACACCCGCCGGTCTGATTATCCGACAGCAGAGTAAATGCTGAAGAACAGGAAATTGAAAACCTGAAGCCCGTTTTTATCCCGCTGCCTCGCAATGATGGGCATCAGCGGTAAGATATCTCCGGGGGGATTCGCAACGCGGGCGGGTTCTCATTCACGTGCATGCCCAGTATATTTGCTCTCCACTTTCAGAAAAAGACCCGGGTGTTGACAGGCAGAGTGACGCATGAGCCCGGGATAGCGGTTTTGCGTGGGCAACTGACGGCCGGTTCGTGCGCGGGACTGATGATGGGGATGCGACGAACCAGCAACCACAACCCTGCTCTGAGGGGTCAGATATAAATCCATCTGTGTACAGCGTAGTACAGTACAGTATTTCCGGCCCCATTGCTATCTTTGATGAGCATTTCATTTTCTGGGTCACCTAAACTCCTAAAGCATGTAACGAAAAAGCAATGATCCAATGTAGCTGCTCTGGCAAGATGTCCATGATCGGAAGAGCCTGTAAAAGCACACATTGCTGATAATAACTTCAGAGAGAAGTGTTATCCTGCAGAAATACTCGACAATATGTTTTGAGTTTCTTCTCTTTTAATTTCTTCTCCAAGCTAGATGAACATGGGAAGAAAACTTTCCCATGAATATCTTTTTCTCCTTGTTTTGGTTCAACGACTTTCGTGCTTGCCTGACTCAGATACGCATGA